TGGTTTTATTTGGTTCGCCTCAGGTACTGATACATGTTTCCAACTTCTGGATTAGCACAGTTGGATGAAAAATTAATTAATCTGTCAACCTAGGACATGAGTACACTGCATTTCACGGTCTGTGGTGTTGGTTCCTCACTACCTTCTTCATCCTATGTCTCTTCGTTGACCTCACCAGTAACAGACTTGAGAATTTCTTCTTCACTTATCACACCATATCCTGGGTTCATTAGCATCTCTTTCAAGCCAATCAACCATATCCTGCCTTTCTAAATTTTTGCTAGCATTTCATCTGTAAATCCTTCAAAATGCATTTCTTCATCCTCCTCGTTGTTGACCATACCTGTGAGGAGTTTTTTCCAGAAATTCTTTGAAGTCGATTCCTTTACTTCACCACACCTTGGCCAAGTTATAGATGGCTTCCTTGATGGAATAGTTCTTCAAATTCTTAAGGGCTCTTTTAGCCGTTATCCACGCCGAGTTCCACATCTACCCCAAGAGTCAAAACCACCAAAACTTCGTTGAGATTCGTTTTGGTGTCCAACACCTTCGTGGCACATAATTCCCTGATCCATAGGTTGGATGAGAGAGGTGGTATTAGAAGGAAGTGCCATACATGTTTTCTTGCCATCATGTGAGGCTAATGTGTCAATTCTGGGGTGGGCAGGTGCATTATCAAGCAACAGCAAAGCCCAAACTTCGCTTGGCCTCACTGAGTTTCTTAACTTGATCGTCAGGAACTTCCTTGCAGAACCCATTAAGGAGACAAGAAAGCAAGATCTCCTGTGTAAACCCATGCATTCTTTGAGTTATAATATTTCACAGGCAGTCTGTCCAAGCAATGTTGCATGGCTCTTGGTTTCTTAATTTACCAACAATTGCACACGTGATTCTGTCTGTGCCATCGGCATTGGCACACACCATGGCCGACAGCCTGCCCTTGTTAACCCTACGGGCCTGGTGTACAACCTTCACTCCCCGAGTGAGGTGCTCCTTGAGGTGTTCAGTGGCGCCCAGTGTTGGGGGGGAGCCAAGACCCGCAGGTCACTCTCGTCAATCCGCTCGGGGTGGATCACTCTCGGTCGAGTGAGCTGCTTGAAGAGTTTCCCCGAGTTGGTAAGGGAGGCCAGACCCCAGTCTGCGATGTGTTTCTATTTACACAAGGGAATGCTTATGAGGCATTGGAGACCAGACCGTATGGAGACAAATGATGAGTTACAAGTAAAGCACCAAGTGGTGATGCTGTCAGGTTGCAGAAGTGCAGTGCTCGAACTGGCACATTTGATGGACTCGGCGGGTCACCTGGAGGGAACCAAGACCCTATACCGGATAAAGGACCATTTCTATTGGCTGGGCATGGATGCAAATGTGAGGCACTACTGCAAGACATGTTTTCCTTGTCAGAGAGCAGAGAAAAACGCCATTCAAGATTGTCCGTCTGTAGATTTTCTTCAGTTTTGAATCGGATTGTCTTGCCCACCCTTTCTTGGTTGTTTCGGGATCGTCATTTTATGCTGCATACTGACGCCTCATATCGTGCAACACTGGCGGAGCGGCTTCAGCTTGCATTCTGGGTAAATATTACTCCTGCTTCGTTCCGCAAGCTGTCTTTAACCTCCTGCCTGCTCATGTGCCGCCTGAGCCACTGGACTCGACGTGTTCATGGACACATCGTCTCTTGGCTGAGGCTTTGTGACCAGTGCTCACCAGGCCAGCCAGGGGCGGTGTGTTCCATCCCTCCATCCGGCTCACAGCACAGTGCGGGAGTTAGTGGCTGTGTGGATGCCGCTCCAGAGGATTCGGGTCTCTTGCAGATCGACGGTCCGGCTCCATTGGATTGTTCCCCGGTGGTTCATTGCCTGAACCGGGGAGGGGGGGGGGGGGGGGATTTTTGATGCGGTCCTTGGAGTTTGGCTCTCCTGGCAGTTCACGTTTGACGGCCTGTCCCGGTTCATTCTCCTGTCCACGGAATGGACGATTGACGCCGACTCGTTGAGTTGGCTCTGCAGGACGTTCGGGCCTCTGGAAGTGGATCTCTTTGCATCGGCATGGTCAAGGCATCTCCTGGTATACGTGGTGCCGTTCCCACACAGCAAGGCCGTCGAGGTCAATGCCTTCAGGCAGGACTGGGCGAGGTGGGGTTACCTGTACCTCTTCCCTCCGGTTCAGCTGTTGCTCCAAGTCCTGGCTCACTTGGAGACTTACCAGGGAAGTGTAGTCCTCTTGGCCGCTTGGTGGCCAGCCCAGCCTTGGTTTCAGGTGCTGGTTGCTCAGTGTTCGAACCCGAGGGTCTTCCTATGGCTCCGCTTCTTTCAGGAGATCGGTCTTGCCCGTTACGAGGCTGGTTCGCTCTTCTCCTTGAGTCTCCGCATCTGGTCTTTCTGACTCAAGTCTTATCACTACTTGCATGGGGCGCAGGTGGCTTCGTTATTGGTCTCCCATCTGCGTGCTTCATCTCAGCGGCAGTATGAGGTTTCCTGGCGGTCCCAATAGTTTTTCCTATCACTGCATAGGTGTACTTCAGTCTCTGATAAGGCTATTCAGTCCTTGCTGTCGTGGTTATTTCAGGACCTTCATCTTATGCCGAATACTGTCGCCGCCTATTGTGCGGCGCTGGCAGAGCCGCTCCAGCTTGTGTTCAGTATTGATGTTATGTCTGCTTTGTTTCACAAGTTGTCTCGTGCATTGTTTCACCTCCGGCCTGCTCATGCAATGCCTGAGCCCTCCTGGTCCTTGGACCGGATGCTCTCTTTCCTCTCTTCTCCTCGGTTTGTGGTCGCCCCTTCAGTTCAAGCTCAGGACCTTCAACCAGTGAGGCCTCACAAGCAAGCTATGGACCTTCAACCAGTGCGGCTTCAGCAGCTGGCAGTCAAAACTGACTTTGCCAAGCACATGTACTATACAGTAATGTTAATGTTAATTTTAGTGTTGTGTTAGATTAGTTTTGGTAAATTTTAAAGAATTCTTAACTTCAGATGTGTAGCATCAATCAAGAAGTCGAACAAGTTGAAGTTTCTGTTAAAATTAATAACAGTACTGTACAGTACAGTACTTTAAAATTTTATAATTAGTCTGAATGTGGCAATTCAAATTATGTTGATTGTGGGTACAAATTTTTTTTAATATATTCACTTTTAGACTTCTCCAGTAAAACGTCTTAATTCGGATGACCGGCCTATCTGGATGGGAGTCCTTCCCATATAGTCCGGATTAGCTCGCTAATCCGGACTATATGTATTATATAAAATATGGTGAAATACATATTTTGCTCTGTACATTCCCAAGCTTTGTTATAACATATTGCTGAGAATAAACCACTATAACATGGCTGAAAACCAATTATCCAACCTCCACATAAGAAATGAAATGAAAGTGACAACATTTGGGTCCGTTCTGGACCCTGACAATTTTGACTTAAGGGTTCAGGACAGATTGAAATATTGCCACTTCCCCTTAAATTTGTGTTGGGGTTGGGCTATTTGTTATTATTTCAATATTTGAACAATAGCTATTTGCTATTATTTCCCGAATTTTAATCAAGTACTTAACATCTGAAAATGTGTTAAAGTAAACTGTGTAAAGTTTTTTCATTAAATCATGCAATTAAAAAAAAAAAGTTGCATGTAATGAAATGCCATTTTCTGGGTGAGTTCCGGAGGCTGCCCGGAGCTATCCAGCTTGAATGGATATGTTTAACTTTCTGGCATCAGTCAATGTGCATAGAGTTCTTGCCTACCAGGGACCATGAGCCAGAACTTGGCCCCTTAAGAAAGGCACGAGGAGCAATGACCTATAGAAATCTGCGTGTGATTGGGAGCATCCTATGTCTGCCATCGACCGGATCTGGCACCCAGAAAGATGGGCCCCCCAAAACAAACCCCTATTCTGGTGAAACTATTGCTACCAAAAGCCGAACGAGTGAACAGAACTCCCCAAACTAAAATTAGCAAATGAGCATGACGCCATCATGTCTCCGCATGGCAAGCCTGGAGTAATATTCTTCAGTACTTGGGCTGCATGCACATAGGGCAACCTTCCCTAGGTGCACTAAGTATTACCCTTGGGACTTGGGACCACCTTCCACAAGTCCCCTCGGGATCTACCTCCGCTGTGTCTTTTACTGCTCGGTACTTGGCACTCCTTGGAGTCAACTGGGGTCTTTGTTGCCCGTGTTTGCCTCTGGGTAGGGGGTAGTTTTCGTCACTGGTAGGGACGTGGGGTACTTCACCACGAGTTTTCCCTCTTACAGTGGCCGGCTCTGTTCCACCTGGGTTCTCCTCTTGCGGGGTTTGTATTGTTTTGCCTATCTTTCTAGGTGCCCTCCCTGGTCGATGGTAGAGACGACATACTCTAAATGTCGAGTGCTCATAATGGTCATTGCTCCTGGCACCTGAGTGGACCAGGTTCTGGCTCTGGTCTCTGGTAGACATACAGAACTGATTTGGTGACTGATGACACCAAAGTAATATGGCACATGTCAATTTGAATTAGCTTCAGGAAGCCAACGGGGCTCCCCACAGAAAAGAAACCAGAATTAATAATTTCCTATTATAATTACTCATCTTCAAGAATGAGAAGGAGCACCAATATATTAAGAGAAATAGCCTTAATTAATAGGGAATAGATTAGATGCAACACCATACTACATGAAGGCTAAGATGTTAAGACCAAGAACAACTGAAAATGCAACTGTTAAGAAGAAAAATGCAAAGTAATGAAGCAACATTACACAAAATCAGAAAACAAAATTAATTAAATGAAGTGAACAACGAGCATCACTAAGGACAATAAAGTCTGGGTGTTGTTCATAAACACAATACTTTATATCTTGTAAAAACAAGAAAAATAAAGAAAATGCATCACTTTACAGTGTCCATCACAGAATCTAGATGGAGAGATTAAGAATGCACTACAAACACTGAACACAAAAGATCCTAAGAAAATGCACATTAGTTTATGAACACCCTCCAAAGTGTTGCTCCACAATTAGGTTGGCTTACTTCACATACCGGAAGGTTGATTGATTCTAAGATAGCTTCGGGTGCATTGAGTTCCAAGAACAGCATAATAAGGATGCGATGATATGGCAGCTGTTGAAACTCTGTGCCATTAGACTCAATGTCATGAATCATTATGCCACACACTAATCCCAACACCTGGAAGTGAAAATAAAATGTAATTAATGCACTTTCATTCATCTTTGTAGTGATAATTGTGGTCCTATGTTACTGGAGATACCATTGTCAAAAATAGATGTTAATGTAATGTACAGCACATGGCTACTATGGTGTGTAATTACTTAAGTATAGTTGTTTAGTATAATAGGTAAACACTACCCATTTTGTATGTAGTGATCATATTGCCTCTTTTTCTTCTATCTTTTAGTTTTGCATATTTAATGCCTCTAACCTCTCCTTGTAGCTCTTGTCCTTCAGTTCTGGGAGCAACTTAGTAGCATGTCTTTGCACCTTTTCCAGTTTGTTGATGTGCTTCTTAAGATATGGGCACCATACAACTGCTGCATATTCCAGCTTTGGTCTAAGGGATGTAAGTGGTGTCCCAGCATGCATGAAGGTATAGGGAAGTTAAAAAATAACTTAGATACAAGAAATAAGTAAAAGTGAGTGAAAAATCTGTGTTGGAAAAGTTTATATTCCAGAACAAAATGTCAATAACAAACATGGCCGAAACCATGAGGAAGGTACACACACCAAAAGATGATGGTTTTAAAGGATTCTCACCTCAAGATATAATGAAAGATAGATTTCTTGGCAGATTAGAGATTATTGAGAACATGCTAAAGTAGTATGAAGAAAAAGTAATTGAATTAGAACAAGAAAATGTAGGTCTGAGGAATGAGTGTTGCAATTTAATAAGAAGTATTCTCCAGAAAGTTAAGAAAATTGCCAACTTAACCGATAAGGTAAAGAGAAAGGAGGAACAAATCAAGAACTAGTGAAAGAAAATGAGGTATGGAAAGTGAAGGGTGGTGAATTTTAAGAAATTAACTAGAAAATACACACATATGGTGAACAAATCAATGAGCCCTACAGGCTGACATGGAGTCAGGCTAAGATACCCCAAGAGAAATTTCATTGACAACTCAAATAGGAGGAGGATAATTAAAACTAGAAAAGTGAAGAGAGGAAATAAAAAACGTGCACAAGTTGTAAAAGAGAAAAACATTCAAGGAAGTGTGTTTGGAAGTCAAAACCAGAAATGACCAACAAGAAGCAATATAATACAAATAAAAATGTATTTATGTTTACTAATGCCTTGTACACACTGCAGTATCACAGAAACTACCACTACAACAATTTGCAAACTACACACAACAGTATATCAGCAATTAAAGAGACTTTTGTAAACAGCTACACATGAAATATCAAATAGCCAATTACTTCCTCATAATCAATTTCCATAACATTCTGCTCACTCATTCCAGTAGTGTTCACATGAACAAAATTATGAATACAAGAACAAAATAAAGGTTCAATTAACTCATTTTGTTTGTCCTACACCAGTGCTGACAGTTACCTTATTAAGGAGATTTATCTTAGTAGTAGGATTGGTAGCCTCTCCTGAGTGTTTAACTAACAAGGCAATGAGCCGTACAAATGCATCCAAATTCTGGAAACATTTGCTGCGTACATAAGTAGGTGATGGGCCCTGGCCTTGCTCTAAGATGGAACGCACACACAAATCTCGGCACATGCTGATGCAGATGCGAAAGAATCTGCAATTAAAGTTACAGTTCATGTGATGTGTACAAAATTTAAGCTTCAACTATAATGGTTACTATGGAAAAGTTTATATTCCAGAACAAAATGTCAGTAACAAACATGGCCGAAACCATGATATATATCATTATATATCAGGACAGGACATTATATATTAATAGGACAACTATTATATCAACTATAATATAATTACTTTTATGTTTTTTGGAAATTCAGTCAAAATATAAAATGTATCAAAAGGGGGATTCCAAAAGTGAAACAGAGTATTAGACAAACTGAACTCTTACCTGGTAATGAGATCATCTGTTTTAAGAATTCCATGTAGATTCATTTGCTTTACAAAATGCTGGAAAGCAGATGCCGAGCCTTGGCCAGCCGTTGGCGAGTGATACATCTGTATCCATTCTCGCAATAATACTTCGGTTTTCTCTTGCAGAGCAGGTGGATCCTGAAAGTCTCTAGCCTGTGTAACACCAGAGTGAAAGTGAAGGCTAGGCCCAGCAGACAATGGATTGGTAGATCCGCTAAGGCTGTTTCCTCCAGTTAAACGCTCACCACTTAACAAGTCATGCTTCATGCGCAGTGCCTCAATGAGTGATACAAGACCCTCAGGAGCTTGTCGGGAATGACACATACGTACCAAGGCCTCTAAGGTTAACTGTAAATCAGTTTCTCTTAGCACACTATTGCTGGGGTCATCTATAAGGTACACCTGCAGAAGGAAAATAAATAGTTAATACAATAATAATAATTTGTTCTGATGCAACATTTCATTGTCAGTGTTACTCATCATGCAATAACTTAATTTCTTATTCATAAGCATATTTTAATCCATAAATTACATTAAAGTCTCACCATATGTACACCGCAAAGCAGACTACACCTTTTTGGTGTATTTAGCAAGACTCAAAATGATACCCCATCCATCCATTCATCAGGTAAGAAGCATAATAATGAATATAGTCATTCCATGCCAAATCATCACAGCTCCCAACCCAACCATCTCAGTTTTGCATGAAACTAGGAAGGATGTAAGAGTATATGAAGTGTCAATTATAAGACAAATTTTAACCCTCAGTGATGCATGATATTCCAACCCATCCTCCTCTTTAGATAGTAGTTTTCTATGTGCACCATAGTACAAAGATTGACTTACTAAGAAATTAGATAGAAGAATTTGGTACTATTCTATTGGTACTAATTGGTTACTAATAGTAATAATTGGTACTATTATACTATTGGTATTAAGAATAATTGAGACAAAAACTCTCCAAGAAAGCAACAATTCAGTCACTGGCACATAAAAACACAACATTAAAGTCACCTATTCCTAACCATACCTTACACCTTTTTCTCTATCAATATGCTCTTCCTTTCATACATTACCTTACAAATGATATACCATCATCCCAACACTACCATATCAATTTAAATACCAAATCCTTAAGCCTTCAAATGCAAAACTTCACTATATTTAAATAAATAAATAAATAAATGAATAAATAAATTTTTATTCAGGTAAGGTACATACATACAAGGTAAGATACAAAAGTTGATGGATTTATAGATAGAGCTAGTACATACAATGCCTAAAGCCAATATTACGCAAAGGGTTTCGGGCAGGTTCAGGCAGTTTCGGGCATTTGACTTCAATTTGTTTGTCTTACCTGGACTAGTTGCATCACAAAGAGAGAAGGGATATAGGAGTGCACGCGAGGGTCATCAAGAGTCCGTGCCAAGTGTTCATCCAGAAGCTGAAGGTTAAACAAGTTGGAGCGGATAAACCAATCTCCAACATCAAGATTATATTTGATATCATCTCTGGCTTCTGCCCAGCATCTGGAAAAAGATAAATTTTGCATTAGTTCAACAATTTTGTTGATAGTAGTAATGGAACTGACCCCAGGAAATAAGGCCAAGAAATGTAATGAGAAACTTCCATAATGTGTAAATGTTTTCCCAAGTTCTCTTCCCCTTCAAAAAAAAGTGCTTGGGTTGGTGTATCAAATATTACCCTAAGTGTTAGTAACAAATAATTAAATTACGCTATTTTGTATTCTGTATTATGTTATGTACGAAGAGATATACAGTAGAACTATTCATATACAGTTCAATGCATGCTACTATCAGCCAATGATTGGGGGGTCATTCCATCTCAAATCACCAAAAAGTCACCTATGGCTCCCACTCGACCCTCTCCAAATGCCATGAAATTTTGTAGTAAGATAGCCCTAGACCCCAAATGACACTTTGCAAAATATTAGAGCTTAATCTGCTTTGGTTCTTAAATAACAGGTCCATGTTGAATGGGCTCTCGTCCCATTAATGCGTACACACCACAAACATTACTAACTTTGACTCTTTGTTAAATCACAACTAGTGCCCAGAGAGGTGTGAAATTTGGCATACCAAGGCAACTTTTGGTTCGGAATACAGCAGTGTAATAAAGAAAAAGGTTTGGGTAGCCATTCAGCCACCAATCCGTGCTAATATCACTGCCAATTATCTCAAAATATCTCAATATGCATCATTCCCAATTTGGGTTTGAATGACACCATTGGATAGAGCAGCCATGCAGCCCTTTATAAGCAGTGATTTCCATAATCTTTCTTTCTTTCATTTAAATTCTTGCAATTACTATTACAGAATATATTTTCCTATTCTCTCACGAATTTTTCCACTTTTTTTTTTAACAAAAAATAAAAAAGAAATTACATTTTTACTTTTATTATACTGTATATGGAAAATTGTGCCAATAATACATACAAATGAGAAATGCAGACAAAAACCAAAGTCAAATGTACGTAAAAAATCAGCGTTGAATGTAATGAAAGGCCATTTTCTGGGTGAGACCCAGAGGCTCGGCAGAGCAATCTGGGCTGATATGAATGTATTAGACCCTGGCATCAGTCAATGTGTATGGAATTCTAGGTCTACCGGAGACCACGAGCCAGAATCTGACCCCATCAGAGAGGCACATGGAGCAATGGCCTATAGAAACTCCCTATGAAGTTGAAAGCATTTGATGTCTGCTACTGACCAGGTCAGGAACCCTGAAAGGTAAGCAGCCCAAAACTAACCCCCCTATTCTGGTTAAAATTTTGCTACTGGAAGACGAACTAGTGGACAGAACTCCTCAATTGAAAACGAGCATGGCACCACAACGCCACCGCGCCGCTGTCTGCACAACCCTCCCTGGGAGGGGATAAGGGGGAGCCCCAGACCCCCTTATGTCGGCTATCCACCCCTGTAGTTCTGAGGCTAGATGTCAAAACACTCAAAAAATCGCTGATCAGAGGGAGGGTTGCCGGGAAGCCTCCGGGTCTCACCAAGAAAATGGTGTTTCATTACATTCAACGCTGGTTTTCTGGGAAAAGCCCCCTTTGGCACTCCGGAGGTACTTACCCAAAAACAAAAACAAGAGGGACTTACCAGGGAGGCGGTGGGCCCTCTCTTCTCAAAGCTAAGTCGAGACAACTGGCTGCAACCGCCGACTCAATGCGGCACAGGCCTGACTAGGCCCAGGAACGTTTGACAAGGTAGCGAGCTGCCAGAACCCTATTCGACCTTGAAATACCATGTGTCCGAACGTCAGCCCAGGACATATTAGTGAAGACGGTAGCCAGCGCAGCAAACTTACGAATGTCGTGGGCATGAGGATAAACCACAGGCTGGCTGGAGCGAATAACCCTGCAGACGACCTCGGAGACTCAAACCCTGGAACAGTGAAGAAGGGAAACCGGGTCAACCCAAAGCGCGTCCCCGGCCACCGAGGCTGTGTTTCGCAGGTAACGGCAGAGAGGCACAACCGGACACAACACATGATGCACCCCTGGCCTGACCAACTTCCAAGTATCAACAACACAAGGACCCCACGGACTCCACCGGAGAACCAACAAATCTGAAATGAGACGGCAACTACAAGAAGCTGCCTGCAGATACTGCACAACCGCAGACTCTGCAATAAGCAACGGGCAAAAAGGCGAAAAAATCTTAAGAACCAGGGCCCAAGCGGATTCCACAGAGGAAGCAAGCACTACCTGCCGACACGTAAGACAGGAAGCAAAGAACAGCGAACCTGGTTGATATTACTCTACTCCCTCTACTAACACCAAATCCCGTAGGATCGGTGCGAACAGCCTCAAAAGAGCAGACGACGCCACACACTGTCGAGCCCAATGCACCAGACCCAGGAGCGGCCCCAAGTGCCTCCACGCCCTCTGCCAACCAGTCCGAGGACAATTCGAGAGGGAAAAAGAATCACAAGTCCTCAGCGACCAACGCAGCCTAAAGGGAAGGAACCTGCACATGAAGCTGCACCACACCGACATCCTGAGAAAGGGTAGGGGCAAACAAGCATGCATTGAAGTGCTCAAACTCACTCCCCAGGAAAACCTGGACCACCATATGAGCCTTGCGCCACTCAAGTGCGTGGGACCAACAGAATGAATGCCATGAATCCAACGAAAAAACGGGGACAGTCCGCAAGCCAAGACAACTCCAGAACCTCATAACCCAGTAGGGACAGGAAGATCCATACACATAAGAAGGATCCATTATGACCGCATAATCTGAGTCACGCAGGAGGTAAGCCGCAATGACCTCTTGCACTACATGGGGCGAGATGCGAGAGGCCGAAAGCCTCCAGAAAGACGGGACCAAAGCACCCACGGGATCATGGAACCAAACCCGGGGAGGGGTAGATGCCAAATCTAACTCGTACGAGGACGGGGAGAAAGAGAACCAACGCCTCGTAACACCAAGCCTCGCTCAGAGGGTACCCTGAAGTTCCAGCCGGAGGACCAGACTCAAATTCCTCCATCGCTACACCAGAAAGGGCATCCCCTAAAACCACCCGAATCTCAAGGCCCACTAAATCCTGGCCCGACTCTGAAACCCTCAAACACTTCGGAGCCGGAAGCAAGGGAGGAGGACAAGGACGAACAACAGAAGGCAGAAGGACAAGGGGGTGCGGACGGAACCAAAGTCGAGGCGACTAACACCCCAAAGTCTGGGTCCCAATAACCAATACGGAGCAGTCTCGGGGCATCCGAGGTAGCAACCAACCTAGTGTGTTCCAGCAACCTAAATCGAGCATGCAACACTGAAGCTGCCTGCACCCACAAAATCATGATCAGTGGGACTGGGTGAACTGGAGCACAAACAAGGCCCAAAATTTGCAAAATTCCGGGTCAAAAGTATCACCGACCCAACAGGCTGCATGACAGAGGCACAACCGGTGAGTGTCACCCTGAGACAAAGGGACATAGCAACCTTCAAAGTTGCACAAAGCGAGAGGAGACCCAGGGGTCGCGTCCATTGGACCAGAGAGCCCCCGCAGGGTTCCCCAGGACCTTTAGTCACGTTATCTTGCTAAGGAAAGCCCAGGCAGGGTACTGCTAACCAGCTCTCAAAATCTACCAAGCAAACTGCAAAAGTTGAACCCCCGGGACAGGCACACTCACGGAAGCCTAGCGGAGGTCCACCATGATACAATCGGGCGAAACCAACACCAAGGGGCAGAAACCCCCTACCAAGCAGGAAAACAAAAATGAAAAGAAAACTCCCAGTGCCAAAAATTACCCCTTACCTAGAGGCAAACAGGGAAGCAAGACACCAGTCGACTCCAAGGGCGGTCTATCACTGAGAAGCAAGACACAGCAGAGGTAGATCCCAAATTGACTTGTGGAAAATGAACCCAAGTTCCCAAGGGCAGTACTTAGAGGGCACCTAGGAAAGGGAACCCTAGATGCATGCAGCCCGAGTACTGGAGAAATTACTCCTGGCTCGCACACCACTGAAGAGACAGCACCACACCACAAGGCACAGAACTGGAAAATTCTGGAGCCAGAGGCACACAATCTTGCAAGTTCCACATCAGCCACAGAACTGCAGGGTGGATAGCCAGCACTGGGGTCTCGGGCTTCCCCTTCCCGGGAAGGAAAGGGAAGGGGGGTTTGCACAGACAATGGTGCGGTAACGTCATGCTCATTTGCTCGTTTTCATTTGGAAAGTTCTGTCCACCACAGGTAATTCTGCTTTCAGTAGCAATATTAGGCGTTTGTTTTGGAGCATGTACTTTTCTAGGTGCCTGACCTGATAGATGGCAGACATAAAATGATTCCAACCACATGAGGGGTTTCTATAGTCATTGCAACTCGTGCCTCTCTGAGGGGACCAGGTTCTGGCTTATGGTCCCCGGTAGGCCTAGCACTCCATGCACATTGACTGATGCTGGGGTCTAATACATTCATATCAGCCTGGATAGCTCCACGGAGCTGAAGTGGCTCCCCCCTGAAAATTAAGGCTTTTCTGCATATTATATCTATTGTTTTGAAATACTCACTTGGTAAGATTCTTTGATGTCCACATTACACCATAGGAACGATGATCAGCCATGGCTTTAAGAACAATGAGGTGGCAGTCTCTGAAGCGCAACGCTAATTGATTCAGTTCTGGTTCATTGGGCAATTCCCGTGCACCTTCCATCAGATTTTCTACACACTGCAATGAAAATAAAACTACATTAAAACCAATCTAAATTACCCTCCTTATAATTCAAGCCCATAATAAATGCCACAAACTGCTGGTGCTGTTAATAAGACCACAAGTGGTTTCATACTTTATGCATCTAGAATTTTAAGTTGGTGAAAGTAACATGGCCAGGCAATACCTTAATAAAATCATTAACTCGATTCTCTCTGACAAACCCTATCAGCTTCTTGGCTTTATTCCGGTTACAGCTGTAACAATTATACATGTTTGTGTTTTGATCTCACAAGAGGGACAAAAAGACATCCAGAAGTCAGACTATCTAGGGACACAAATTGGGGAGTGTGATTAAAATTACACTACTGTGATTACAATTACATGGTGATGTAAAGAGTAAAGTAAATAACAAGCTTAGAAAGTATTATTAGCACAGGTTGGTTAAATGTTCACAGGCTGCTGCAATGAACAATAAAGTTAATGAAGACTGGTTGTGTAATTAGCATAGGGTGTTGGTGTTTTCAGGTAATACAGAGGTGGTTGTAAGTTACAGTGGTGATCCCACCTGTGGTACCTGTATTGACATACAACAATTTGTAATCAATTGTAAGTTGGAGTCCAATATAGGAATCAAAAGTTTAATGTTTGTAATGCATGATCTTGCCCCCCAATGAATTCTTGAATTCTTGTTGTCCCCTTAGGTTACAAAATTAAAATGTTAAAATTATTATCGTTCCCCCAACCACTAGGCATCGGGAGATCTAGATATCCCCTAAGTGTACACATTTCCCAAACAACAAAAACTAAAATATGTAAAATAATGGTTAGATGGCAATCTCACCCACAAGAGTTATGATAATAATTATGGGTCAGTACAAAGGAAAACCCTTCTGTATTTGATTTTCTTATACAAGACACAGCACACACAGGGAGGGGTGCACAGTACCATTAAAAAAAAAAAAAAAAACTAAAGTTGAGGGCAAAACAACGAGCTGCCTAAGCGGCAGGTCTGGTGACTTGACAACAGCATACATGGAAAACAATTCAAAGCAGAAGCTCCTTGCAAGGCCCCGGAGCGGGAGGGTTGTCATGTATGCGCATGGGTCCCTTCTGTCGCTGCCAAAATCCCCCTTGTGGGCTCCAGCCAGGTCATCCACCCTCTTGTGAGAAACCATTTGGGGAAGTGGTACTCCAGATGACTCAGCCTAGGTAGTTAGCTACCAGCTGTTCTAGCTGAGGTTTTCCTCAAGACTAAATTAATCGTTATGCATCCGTTGCATGGTGATCCTGGGACTAACGTGGTCTGCCCCTTGGTGTGTGGACTTGGACCATATTCTGTAAAGGGAATATGTCCAGGTTAGGGCTTTCACAGAGCAAATCTCATGATCGCTCTTGGTGAGGCCCAAGTCCAGAAGTCGACATACACTCTCTTTGCACCATCTCCCTCTCCAATTAAGGGTTACAGAAGAGACGGATGCAGTGTGCCTACCGGTATATTTCCTGACCTGTTGAAAGATCTCATGGGTGCCGTATTTGTCGCACTTGCTCTGGTCTGGACGGGAGAGTGGGAAGTTATCAGCAGAGACCTGGGTGTCTAATATAAAGGCCTCATCACCCTATCTTGAGGTTATCTTGAGGTTATCTTGAGATGATTTCGGGGCTTTTAGTGTCCCCGCGGCCCGGTCCTCGACCAGGCCTCCACCCCCAGGAAGCAGCCCGTGACAGCTGACTAACACCCAGGTACCTATTTTACTGCTAGGTAACAGGGGCATAGGGTGAGAGAAACTCTGCCCATTGTTTCTCGCCGGCACCTGGGATCGAACCCAGGACCACAGGATCACAAGTCCAGCGTGCTGTCCGCTCGGCCGACCGGCTCCCGGTCGACCCTTGCAAGAGATGATGTCAGGCTTGCAGAAGGTCCCTCCATCCGGTATAAGAACCTCACGTTCCACCGCAAAACCTCTCTGCCGTAGGCGGCCAGCTATGAACTGGGTGATAGCGTTATGACGTTTCACCCAAACCCCATGCGTTTTATAGCGTTATCTTTCAACACCGCGTCGGACAGGTGTTTGGGAGCCAGAGGCGCGTGCACCACTCATGGTTGCTCATTCAATACTAACCCAGCCAGCAGCCCTAGGGCATTCTGGGAATTTTTTCCAAGATGGCTGCCTCTGACTGGAGGTCCTAAGAGTCCATTTCGTACACAACCAAACTCGTACAAATTTAGAATTGGTACCGAAAAATCAAAAAGAGTTTTCTCGGTTGGCTCAGTTTCCCGCCGACCGACAATACTCGGTTGGCGCAGTTAAGTGGTTAAAGCATAGGACCACAGAATGATTAACTGCACTTAAGTAAACAAGGATAAGAATATATTTGGAGAACAATTTGATCACCTGCTTAATTAGACAACATGCTGATAAAAAGAATATCAAAATGGGGATATCAAACACTGTGGTAAGCAAGTATTAACACACTATAAACGAGGATGAGGAATGAATAATGATACGAATGCAATGAATTTTGCCGTTTCCTACAATCATCACAAATTAAATAATTTGATGCAGATTCCTAACCTTTCTAAGTAGCATTTGAGTAGCATGGACATCTCTGTTGGTTCTTGTAAGCAGAAGTCCTTCATGTAAAGAGTGAAGCATTGGTATAAGTGGCGATGTGGGGGCAAGGGTTGTGAAGGCTTGAATGGTGTGCTCCAACTCGGCACTGATTCTCTCTGTTAGCACCAAGAAAGCTGTTGATTCTTCACTACCAAATGCTGCTTGTGTGTGAGATGGCTGTTGCTGTTGTTGTTGTTGCTGCTGCTGCTGCTGTTGTTGCTGTTGTTGCTGCTGTTGCTGCTGCTGCTGCTGTTGCTGCTGCTGCTGCTGTTGTTGCTGCTGCTGCTGCTGCTGTTGCTGTTGAAAGTTGTAGTGAGAAAACACTTGATATCGAGTTTGAATGTTAAGAATAGGATACAAACTTTAATGACTATAAAGAAATATTAAAAAGTACTGGTATTCATGCAATCTTTACTGATTCTCCTGTCCTAGAACAGAACAAAACCATTATTATTTATTGTTTGTTAAAATAATATTACCCACAAATTTTACACGGCCAGAAGAGTTGCGTGTATCCATTTACCTGCTCATTAACACTTTGCCCGGCCCGACATGCGACCCCTAGCACACCCTAAGGTCGGCCGATCGTTTTCTGTGAGCGCGCACCCGAACTAAAATGTATATACTCTTCAGTTTTCTGACCTCAATTTTTGTGCAATGTCGTTTATTTTGGTATCAAATTGTTTGCAATAGAATTTTCTAAGGGGATATATGCATATTAGGTCAGAAGGGTCAGAGCGCTCCCTGCATCAAATACAAAAGTCGACCGAGCATTACTCATGAGTGCACACCAGCACTAAAATGTTTATTCTCCTTTCAGTTTTCCCACCTCACTTTCCTTGCTACATTGTTCATTTTGGTATCAAATTGTTCGCAATAGAATGCTTGAAAGGAATATATGCATACATGGGCAAATGGAAGAACAACTTTACCAATACCATAAGAATAAATTACATCGTCATGTGAAAAAATCAGCATTGAATGTAATGAAATGCCATTTTCTGGGTGAGCCCCGGAGGCTCCCTGGAGCTTATCGCGCTAATGTGTGTTATAATAGACCGGGACATTCGCTAAGGGGTTCAGACTTACCAGGGACCTCACATCAGGGAAGGGGGCCAGGTTCTGGCCCCCTTCAGAGGTTTCAGGGAGTAACTTTCATTCGGCACTAGAGCCGAATCTCATTTCTTGTAAACAAGGATCAAGTATTTATTTGGATTTCAAGATAAAGCCAGAAATATTATAATAGTTATTTATCTTTTTTATTAATACAATAATTAGACATCATAATAAGCAACAAGATGAAATTCACAAGGGCCGTGATGAGGGTTTGAACCTACGCAATAAGATTATACTTTTGTTTTACTGTAGATAAGGGCAAAAATAACAGCAGTAATACATTAATCAAGAAAGAAGACATGACAAGAATATTAACATCTCAAAAGGACTTAACATTTATTAAAGAGTAGGATTAACCTTAAGCTTTATCTGACATTGATTTGATGTAGGAATGGCTCAAGCACAGGCAAAATAAGTGAAGATAGGTATTAATAGTGGAAATGGAAAATAGGCTGAAGGCAGTTTCCTCTATTATTTTGCTACGTTCTTACATACATATGTACAAGGATGAAATGAAGTTATGTAACATTAGATTAAAATGGAATGCAACATTAAGTTTTTTAGGGTTGGCTTTCAAGTGAGCAGTGGACAGAATGAGAAAAACAACAAAGTATATAAAGGAAGAGATATGGCACACAAAATGAAGGATGGAGAACTTACATGGTTTAGATATGCAGTGAGGTGGACCCGAGTATGAGGTAAGGAGGTAAAAATAGGGTCAAAATATGTAGGCGAGAGAGATGTCAGGATGGAATTTATAGATAGAGTAAATAAGGTAATAATAAAAAAAATACACACAAAGACTAATACTTACAGAGGTAATAGGCACAGGTTTAGCTAAGAACATTGTATCTTGGTCAGTAATAGGCAAGAACCCTGGTATGTTCCGAGCAAACTCTTCATACACAGCCATTTGAGGTGGAGTGACTCCACCCACTTTTAACCGAATAAGCTCAGGCATACGTTCTGCTTGGTATGTTAATACCACAGGATCACAATAGCGTCGTCCTTCCGTTCGAGCTACCTTCCGAGCTTCATATTCCTGTAAGTGATCAATAAAATGCTGATATGTGAAAACTAAAATAATCATGAACATTCCTATACTATATATACAAAAGTATGGAACTAATTTTTCTTTACAGGGACAATTTACTCAAATATAAAACTATGATATAATAATAAAAAAATCAGACATGATACAAGATGTAATGTGGTAGTTCCATATTCATTTTGCATCAGGCAAACCTTAGCCACAACTCGTGGAATGCTAAAAGTACTTAATTACAGCCCAAGTATTATTCAGGTTTTCATATATGCTTTGGTGCCCAAAACCTGGACTAAATTAATGTACCTAGACTAGACCACATACCTCTAAAGCACCTGGGTATGGGCTTGCACAAATTGAAAAATCCTGTCCTTTATGTATGTGGCAGTCCAGTGGTTCAGCACTCAAAGCATGTATGAATGTAAATACACTCAAAACTACCTTTGAAACATCTTGTATGAAGTCAGCCTCCACCACATCACTGCCTAATGCAATCCATCTGTTAGCTATTCTGACACTGAAAAAGTTCTTTCTAACGTTCTTGTGGCTCATCTGGGTACTAAGTTTCCCCCTTGTTTATGTACTATCTGCGCTAAACAGTTTATCTTTATCTGCCCTATCAATTCCTCTAAGAATTTTATAGGTAGTTATCACGCTCCCCAAACTTTTGTCTTCCAGTGTCATGAGGTTTAGTTCCAGTAATCTTTCCTCGTACCTCTCACCTTGGGGCACTAGCCTGGGGGCATACCTCTGAACTTTTTCTAACTTCATTTTGTGTTTGACTAAATGTGGACTCCATGCTGGAGCTGCATATTCCAGTACTGGTCTGACATACAAGGTATACAAGGTTTTGAATGATTCCTTACAAAAGTTTCTGAATGCAGTACTTATGTTTGCCAGACTTACATATGCCACTGATGTGATACTTTTGATGTGGGCTTCAGGGGACAGGTCTGGTGTGATATCAACCCCCAGACCTTTCTTTTTTCCTGAATCCTGAAGGATTTCCTCTCCTAGCTGGTACCTTGGGTTTGGCCTCCTGCTCCCTACACTTATCTTCATCACCTTGTACTTACTCGAGCTAAACTCTAGTACCCATTTGTTGAACCAATCCTTCAGTCTGTCCAGGTCATCTAGTAGCCTCTTGCTGTCCTCCTCCTGACTTAATCCTTCTCATAATTTTAGCATCATCAGCACACATCAAGACGAATGAGTCTATACCTTTTGGAAGATCATTCACGTTTGTCAGAAACAAGATGGGTCCGAGTACAGAACCTTGTGAGAGACTGCTGGTGACATCACACCAGTCTGAGGTCTCGCCCCTCACTGTAACACACTGCTTCCTGTTGTTTAGGTACTCTCTTATCGATTGGGGACACACTACCACTTATTCCAGCTTGTTTCTCCAACTTATGCAACAGTCTCTAATGGGGTACTGTGTCAAACACTTTCTGGCAGTCTAAGAAAATGAAGTCTGCCCATCCTTCTCTTTCTTGCTTAATAATGCTTGTAGATTGGTCATAGAATTCTATTAAACCTGTGAGAAATGACTTGCCTTCCCTGAACCCATGTTGGTAGCATGTTACGAAGTCCCTTCTCTCCAAATGTGCTACCAGGCTTTTTCTCTCGATCTTCTTCATGTTGCATGATTTACATGTTAAGGATGTAGTGTAAAGTGTAAAGCCTGTAGTGTAAAGCTTCCTGCCTATCTCCCCCTTTTTGTATATTGGGACTACATTACCTATCTTCCAACACACTGATAGGTCTCCTGTTTCCAGTGACTTGTTATACACCATAGATAGTGGCATGCAAAGTGCTTCTGCCCCCTCTTTCAGCATCCATTTAGAGATTCCATTGGGTCCAACAGCCTTCGTCTGTTGTCATCTAGACATGACAGTCACGTCAAGACAACGTGTGGTAATTTCAACATCTTCCAAATCTACTTGGTTTAATGCCACCTTCTTAGTTCAGAGACTTTTCCTTACTTTATTGAAAAGACCTCCTGTAATCTCATTGTATTCTTCACATACCTCTTTGTGAGTACCCTGTGCACCCATCCTCTCCCTTTTTCATTTACATGCATACATACACATGCAGGCATGCATGCACATATGTACGTACATATATATATATACATGCAAGCATGCATGTACATATGTACGTACGTACGTACATATGTGCATATTACACACACACATATATTTAGACCTTGACCTTAATAGTAATGATAAAGCAAAAAGTAATACAAGTACATAAATATTACAAAAATAATGTATTACTTGAGACAATCTTTTATCCATTTCAGTAACAGCTTTCTCAGCAGCAGTTTTCTGGATAAAGGCACAGGCAATGCCAACATTCTCTTGGCCAAGTGCAGCAGCCAGCTGCTCCATTTGTTCCATCTGCTGAGGTAACTGTTGTTGGTTGGACTGAAGAAGAGAATAAAAATAATGTACCATTAATTATTGGTTTGTATTTAAATGTACTTGTGCATCAAAAAGCTTTCATATATAAAAGAAATAGAAAAGATGCCTCGCTTGATAATGTGAACTTTAGAAAAAACAAGTACATAATATCTTACACTGTTGCTGTTAAACATGTCATTCCAGTACCTGCAATCATAAAATACATTTTCTATTTATATCATTTTTTTTTAAACTTGGGTCATAGTACCTAGTACTCCGCTGGGTCCTGCAGCACACCCTCAACATCCTCTAGGACCTCAACATTCTTCGGTCCCTACATAAGGATCAGTTCTAAAAACTTCACCGAGTCCTGCATCACCACGTGAACATCTTGTATCAGAATCTCCTTCAGTTCCTACTGCTGGCCCAGTTCCCCAATCAGTACTTGCTATGCTGGTCCTTGCATCTGATGAACCATCTCACTATCTCCTCGGATCACCACTCTCGCTGATCCATTCAGCAAGCTCGTCTCTACAACAAACTTGTACTTCACAGAGTCCTGTAGTGCTACCTCAACATCTTCAACAAGCACCATTATCTTCAATTTCTGCAGCAGACCCAGTTCATCAACCATCACCAATACTTGCAACGCTGGGCCCTGTTCTGCAGAACATCAGCATCTTCATCAAAGGCTCAGACAGTATCGTCGCCAATGTGCTTTCCCGAGTCCACGAGGTGGAACATTCCACTCCTACTCCTCTACACTCCGCTGCAGTCAAATAGGTACTAGGAGCAGGCTTCAGGGGAGTGCTGTCGCGGTAATCTCTCTCAAAAGGAGATTCGGCCTGCTCCATCATCATCTGTTCGACAACACCACGTCTACATATTTAAAAAATCAAGAATTTACAGCAGCAACAATGACAACAACTACTTCTCGGACGTCTAGACAGTGTACCAACAGTCCCCCTCCACTCCAACGCCCGTCACCCTACCTCACCTGGCCACTGGGAGCTCACGCCACCGACCGAAACAAGCAGTTAGTGAGCCCGCTCATAGTTATCAATGACAATCAGTGCCACGACAATCAGCGCCACCTGGACAGCCGTTTCTCCTATATATAGAGGCTACACAGCCTTACACCTTCAGATTACTCCTGAGTGCTCTACTGACTAGGTCTATTGACATACCTCAGTGTGGCAACAGATTTATGCAAACTGGCTCACAGTATTCTAGCACCATATTTTATTTGCACATTAACGTAACGTAAATTTGATTGTTCATACTGGTTGTTTTGCACACGTTGAATTAGAGCCAAGCCTGGATATTATTTTTTTGTTTTGTAAATTGTTTAAAGTAATGTTTCATAAGTAAAGTATTTTAAATTTTGTTCTCTATACTTTATCCTACAGTTATCTCATGGTGGAGTTAAATATCAGTTAACTTTTTTTTTTTTTTTTACTTCATGTGACAGGCATTCCATCTGCCCTAGAGAGACTGTGCTACCATCCATTTTCCCGTCACTGAACAAAACTATTACCACAATCAACGCAGAGAGAGGTAGTGTTCATTTTGCTAAACTCCACGGTGACTATGGCCGAGGATATGCCTATGGCAATGTTAAGAGAGAAACCAGGTAACCCACTACACCCAATAATCAGACAAATACCAACTCCAACCTACCACCTGGCAAAATGAATCAACAAACTCCTAAATCCATACATTCCAAGCAACTATAGTCTGCAATCATCAGCAATTTCCTAGAAATAATCAAAACTACACAGCCCAAAGAAATTATTACTTCACTGGACATTGAATCACTATTTACCAACATCCCAGTCGACACCACCATAGAAATGATCCTGGACAGAGTATACAGAGAAGAGAGCACCCCCCCCAAATTAGACATACCCGAGCCACACTTGAAGAATATTCGAGACATGTACAAAGGAAGCTCCTTTCATCAGTCTGCAAGGTGACATGTATCTACAGAGAGATGGAGCAGCATCTCTCAGAGCACGAGAGCAGAGCATGGAGCTGATGGGGCAAGATGGAGCAGCATCTCTCAGAGCATGAGAGCAGAGCATAGAGCTGATGGGGCAAGATGGAGCAGCATCTCTCAGAGCATGGAGCTGATGGGGCAAGATGGAACAGCATCTCTCAGAGCATGGAGCTGATGGGGCAAGATGGAGCAGAGAGCCCTCCTGGGAGGGGGGAGAGCCCCCTCCAGGAGTGGTATTTGCAAATTTTTACTGGGAACCATCGAAGAAAGTCTTCAGTAGTAGGCCTAAAAAAATTGTATACTGTTATTATGTAGACGACATTTTCGTTGTAGTAAAAGACCCAGCTGAACTAATTGATCTAAAAAACTTCCAGATTACCCATGAAAATAGTGAAAAACAATAATCTGACATTCCTGGATGTGCTAATAACAAAAACAGGAGCATCTCTAAGCACCAGCGTATATACTAAGCCTACAAACATAGAATTATGCCTAAATGGTAGGAGTGAGTGCCCCTAAGATACAAAGCCAGTGTTCTCAATGCGTATATTCGCCGAGCTCACCCACTGCTCTGAATGGAGCAACGCGAGTAGGGAGTTTTAAAAGAATAACTGAAGTGTTAGTTAATAATGGTTATAGCAGCAAAGAGATAAACACTACTATAAGACGACACTTGGACTGATGGTATAATCATGAACCTAGCACCTCCAATCAAATTATATTACAAATCAACCATGCACAGTGAACATAAAAAAGGAGAGAGAATAATGAGAATCTGTAAAGGAATAAAAAGAACAACTCCTAACCCAAACACTAGACCTTATCATATTCTATAAAATAATGAAGACTACTAACCTCCTCATTAAGAACAGCCCGAAACTGACGGAGAACCCTTTACAACAGTCAAATGCGGTATATATGTACACCTGCCCCCACGAAGGATGTAGCCTTCAATCTAAGTACAGTGGCCCCCACCATTTACAAATTTAATCCATTCCAAGAGATGGTTCGTAAGCCGAAAATTCGCAACCTGAAACGAATTTTCCCCTAAGAAATAATGTAAATTAAATTAATCAGTTCCACGTTCCCAAAAATATTAACTTAAAAATAGATTTCATACCTATTTCACACAAATACTTAGTACATTACATAGTATGTACAAGTTATAGCTTACCTTTACTGATGACGTGTTGGTGTATGGAATACAGTGAGGAGTGGGGGAAAGAGGAGAGATGTCAGTAATTGGAAGGGGGAGTCCCCTTCCATTATAACATCAGGCAGAGATGATTTCTCTGGGGTACTCTCTTTGGCATGTTTTGCCTGCATACCACTAGGACCTGCTTCTAGCTCACTGCCTGTTTTTCTCACTAAAAACCTTTCCATAGATTTTTTTTCTCCTACATTGCAACACTTGTCTGTAGTGTGGCATCACAGTGTAGTAAAAAGGTTAAGGCAGTGGCCTACTACAACTTCCTCTGGGCAAGTTGTTTCAACAAAAGTTTGCATTTCTTCCCATAGTCTACACCACTTCTTAATTGTTGAGGAAGGAACATTCTGTACTGCCGCCTCCTCCTCCCCTGAAGAAATTTCCTTGGCTGCCTCTTGTTGCGGCTCCTTGTGAAGGGCTAGGATTTCTTCGGTGGTTAGTTCTTCGCTGTGTTCCTCCACCAACTCTCAACACTGTGAATACTACTTCTTTTTCTAAATTTCTCAAGCCTGCTCTTTCTCCTACTCGCCTTAAGGTCTCTTGTATCTGCATCACTTGTTCCAGGAGTTTTCTTAAGGTCTTCATGCAATAGCCTTGTGTTTTCACAAATGATGGCCTCTGAAATCCTATCACCTGCTAACACCTTGGTGTGTATCCAAATTAATAACAACTTTTCTATTCAAGTGTTTGTGTTCTTTGTTTCATGATTGTTGATATGCCTTTTTGCCACTTTAGCACTCGATGTCTTTTTTTCTTAGCAATTACAGTGCATATCGTTGACAGATTTGTTGTACTGCCTAGCTAATTCAATAACCCGTGTACCAATTTCATGTTCACGAATGATCTCTCGTTTTTCCTCTGTGGTCATCCAAACATGTGTTTTCTTAGGTTGAACTTTACCACTGACTTTCTTGGAATCCATGGCATGATATATAATGATTTTTTTTTGTTTATTTAACATAAAAATAATGAAATTCTTTACAAAGAATTCATGCGCAATCATTACTAAGCAGGAGGGCCTGGTAAACTGAAGCGTGATCGACTGTGCCACTAGGAACTACGAGCTAGGTCGCCCATACGTGTATCAACAAACTACGTTACCTGAAGCAAAGCTTGTAAACTAATTCACATTCTACGAAGAAATTGGGCTCGTAACCCGGAAAGTTTGTAAATAGGGGCATTTGTAAGCCGAGGTGTCACTGTGCATAGGTATGACGTCGACCAAGCTGACGAGGCGTTTGACCTGTATTCTTCAATCAGGTGCCCCTAAAAATCACAGGAGATAAGCTAATGACATCACCCTAACAAGAGACATGTTGAATGAAAACACTTGTGTAATAGATAAAACCCAAGATAAGAAGAAGATTACAAATTCTTCAAGCAATGCACTTAAAAATAGAACAACCCACCATAAATACCCAAATTATGGAGCTCTTCATGTTACTCACCACAAGAGTAAGAACTAGACTGGAACATGAAGATGCCAACATAGAAGACACTGCTCAACATGCCACACCCACTACACCTGATTAATTCTTTGTATATTCTTCATCTATCCATGTCCCCTATCCTTCTCACATTTATGCCCTATCCTTCCTTTACAATGTACTCCTCACCTTTTTTTTATGCACCTGACCACCTTAACCTCTGCACTGCGCACCTGGCTTCGACAAAAACGTCATAGTGCAATTGTTAAGGTCAAACTTAATCATTTTCATTTCAAAACAGTGATAAAAAAAAAAAAAAAAAAAAAAAAAAAAAATCAAGAGTGCCACAAGGCACTCTGTGTAGTCTGGTGGTTAATGGTAAAAAATCCACTACGTCTAGCACTCTCCTTTCACTTGAGAATGAACCCATGTAGGTTTGAAACGTTTGTAAATTTATAATAAGTAATATATTCTACAGTTAATTATTTTTCTTCACCTCGAACTCGATGACATTTGGAAAAATCCTCTTCCAATTAAACCAAGATGCAAGAGCACTAGTCAGAGGGATAGAAGTCCTAAATAAGAAAATAATCAATAAAGAATATGCAGTCATATTCAATTAGACACACACAAATGAAAATCTGCTGCCAGTATACACCAATATGGGTTCAAAGAATGTACATTATTTTGGCTCCAAGTGAATAAACCTATCAATGTATCAGTTCATTGACTACCAGAAACATATCCATGCAATATGACATCTGACCATACATATATCGCTAGGCCATCTTAATGGTCTAAATCTGTATTTCAGTCATTTTGGTCAGGGATGGACACTATATACTGTCACAAAACCTATCATCTTATCTACAGTAAGGCAGCTCTCATAACCCTCTGAAGTGCCTCAACCATTTTTCTCCTTTGCACTACTCTCTCATTATATAAAATGGTTAATTTATGGTTTGTTGGGTTTAAATGGTTTGCAAATAGGTAAATATTAAAGAAATGAGAATCTGGTAATAGGTTTACAAGAAAATGTTATGGTCCTTTAATATAACATACGAATAAATGAGGGTACTATATTTTATTATTCTGTACTAAGAAGGAAAACGAGGAAATGAATACCAGGGAGAAGTATTTAATCCCTGCTATACAAAATCAATATCAAATATACTTGTGTGCCCATGAGAAGAATGTACAGAAAGGTTATAACACATACCCTGGAAAATGCTTGCAACATTCCCTGCTTGATGTTTTTGGTAATATTGGTGGCCAGATAATCTCGGCAAGTAATCATTGCCATTGCTGCAGTAAGGTTTCGAACCATATGATGTGTGGCAGCACGCATTCGAGATTCATCTGGGTCTAATGCAAAGTCCTTCTTAATGATGTGCTCTGCAGTAGTGATGGCAATCTTGATACTACGTTCCATTACTGCAGTAACAATTTCTTGGACGGCCAAGTCTACAGCATGGCGAACTAACTGTTTTACCTGTGCATTGGTTGCAATACCACAAACCTGCAATACCAAAATTACAACTAATTTGTAAATCATGTTAAACATTTAGTTTTTAGCCAGCTGTTATATGGTTACACACACCATGCAAAGACATTTTTATATACTTTTAAAATATTAAGCAAATAAATTAATAAATATAACAGCGTATCCTATTGAAAACTACCGATTCCAAAGAAAGGGCAACCTCAGAATTGAATGCAGATATTTCATATTCCTACAACGGTTGAAAATCTCTCAAAAAACACGTGAATCATTTGCACAGACATTTACGTGCTTCCTTACCTATCTATTAAATGCTACATTTGCTGCTTGCTTCTACCAAAAAACAATACGGAGAGGATGATTTCCTCAGCACGCATGCAGAAATTGGAAAATAAAAGGGAAAATGCAGGACAAATCAAGCAAAGTAATTTAGCTATTAATTTAGTCAAACCAGCTGACCACATTATTCACTGACCTACTACAAGGAAGCAGTTGAATGGTTTTACCATCCCAGAAACACATCTTCATGTGGTTAATCACACTATAATTTCTATATGTGACCTACTTTATTTTCACTACTGCTATATTTCCCCCTGCATTAAATATATTTCTAATTTTTACAGATTTATTTCCCATACTTGAAAATATCTTCCATTTTCCTTTTAGTCTTGTTTATACAAAAAATACTTTCTACAAGCTTAAGTTGACAGTACACCAAGCAGAGAACTTTGGTTTTATAAACTTTCAAGTGCTAAAACATTTACCTTAAGTAAATAATTATTGAAAGATGACAGAGCCTGGAAGACTATTTAGCAACTTAAGATGTCTTAATCTAATTGTCTACTTACCTGAGGTACAGAGACAGATATGTGAGGATCCAGACCCCTGAGAGTCGTTACATTAATATCTGAATAAATAAAACGTGGCTCTGAGGCAGGTTGCTGTTGAGCTTGGATAGGTGTGGGTGTGGTGGAGGGATGTGGAGGCAGAACTGTTGGGGGTGTAGGTGTGGCACCAACAGACGCACTCTGAACAGTTACACCAGTTGTATCAACGACAGCACCCGTTGGCACAGCTTGCGACCAGCTTGTCTTTGCTATGCAAAGAAGGGAAAGGAAGAAATAATAAAAGAAATGAACAGTATTTAATCCTTGTGACAAAGCATATTATGTAATTGAGATTATTACATTTAAACTTAATGAATTAAATTTTGTAATAGTTGCTAACATGCAAGCAGTTAAACTTTTTTAACCAATCAATAAACCTCAATTTGTTATTTTGAAACTATCTATCTATACATCCCGTTAGGTTAGTCATTAAGTAGATTCCTGCCCCTTATGCCATCACATACGATACAATGTATTATTATAGCGAAAGATGAACTATTACCCCACCCAACTTTCTTGATGTGCACTGAATTCTCTGTACACTTTATTTAGTAAGGACAAATACATATAATTCAACAGAGTACCTCCCAGTTAAATACTGTATTATGATTTTTCTTTACAAATGTAATTACTAATGAAAATATATTAATTTGTAAATATTATTATACTAAGAATTACACTCAAACATGCACAACTGTCAATAAATACAAAGTCCTATGGAACTAGATATACCAGTAGGAACTGGTAATGTACCTTCAATTGCAGTTTGTGAAACTGCCGTGACCTTGTTTTCTGTCAGGACATTTTATTAATCCATACCACTAACATTCACCTCAATACTTAAAGAACTGTGTATAGAAGTGCTTACCCACATACCACTGAGTCTGCATATTCCAATACTGTACAAATCTGGGGACTGTCTGTACTAGTTTTAAAGAATACAATTTAGGTCACACAAAACCACAAATGAAGTAAGTAATCTGGGAATGAAACTGCAAGAGAAAATCAGTGAGAGCAATGAGGAGGATTTGAACCTATGCTCTGGGTACTCCCAAGCAAATGCCTTGACCACGACATGGTAAAAGTAATGCAACCTGGGATTGAAGTGAATCCTCTAGGGGCACTGTACACACATTGCCCCATGATGTGATACATCACATTAATGTGATTTCTTTGGCTATGAAACTGCATAATAATCTTTAAATGTACACCACTACTACAACTATTCTTTCCATCACAGGCACCCTAAAATTTTCTTTACAGATGACTATTAGAAAAGAAGGCTGAAAGATTATAAAAACATTACTTATTAACTCCTTTACCCAGTTTCTCCACATTAATGGGGCAGGGAACCACGAGTCACGAGAGGGTGGCAAAACTACTGTAGGAAAAGATGGTTAAAGATATTCTGACATAAAACATTCCATTATACTTCCCACAATGGTATCACAGGTAAACAGCAGGCCACTTCATCAACTTAGTGTGAAGTATTACATCTGTAAGTTCACACAACCATTCAACTTCAATGAACTACTTCCACCCAGTACTGAACTTGCTCATTTTGTGTTAACTTCCAAACATTGTTGACTTACGCATAAATGGTGTAGAGGGAAAACTTTGCAGAGCAGGAAAGAGAGGAGTCGACTCTGCTCGCTTAGATCCTCCTGGCTGTGACAGCTGAGGTTTAAGGCGGGCAATCCGGTCTCGGTCATTCAACACATTAGCAGGCTTCAATTCCTTTAATATATTTTAAAAAATGTTTCTTAAGTCTTCATTTTAACTTTTTTGATTTTACACTCTGCTTAACAGAAGAATGAAATAAAATGTAGTTACAACATATTTAACATTACTGGCATTCTACCAAATCAACAAAACAAGACAGTACTTACTTCCAGATTTATCTCCAATTTGTTACACAGAACCTCAATCTCGAACTTCAGATGCAGCTTCATTTCTGGTTCTTTGTGAAGTTCAGCCAAGACATTCATGATTGCCATGGTCCATGGGTTAGGTGGTTTAAACACTCTGCTCTTGGCACAAGATTCCATCACCTTAGCCACAAAAGGAATCACATACTGCATCTCCTATGACAAACAAAAAAGCACAAACACAATGAGACAATGTCACAAAATATATACTGTTAATTCAATATTTTGTTAAAACCCAAACAACAAAAAATGTATCTTCTTTTTGAAGATCAAAATATATTGGGATGAGTTGGTAAACCCATCATGATTCTGATCTACCCAACAAGAAATCAAACCATGCCACAGTGGTAATTTATCAATCAATATAAATCCTTGCAACTAGCACAGGATATGTTTGGAAGCATTGTAGTGTATATAATCTACAAAATTTTCACATAATGAAACAGTCGTCGCCAGCCGAAAGTGTTAATAACACTTTCGCCCGGCGACGACTCAATGCCGAGTCGTCCGTAAAACAGGGGCAAGTCCGGCAAGGATTCGGCATTGAGTCCTCCGTGCGGCAACAGTAGCGGCATTTTCGGGAAAGTCTTGCTGTGGCTTTGGACATTATATGCATATACTCTTGTAGGGAATTTCATTGCAAATACATTGATACCAAAATGAAAGTCCTAGGACCAGAATTGAGGTAACAAAGTTGAAAACAGAATACCCATTTTATTGCTCTTTATTAGCGCTCACGGGGGTAATGTTCCGTCACTTTCTGTTTGCTGGGCTCTTGGACTTAATATTTGCATATACGCCTGTAGGAAATTTTATTGCGAACACAATGATACCAAAATGAAAGACCTAGAATGAGAATTGAGATGTCCAAAGTGAAGAGAGTGAAGTGAAGAGAGAGCTCTTGCCCACTCCCGGGTAAGACGCTCTCACTTTCTTCCTGGGCTTTTGGGATTTATATTCATTTCGTCCTGTAGAGAATTCTATTGCGAACACATTGATACCAAATTGAAAAACTTAGGATGAGAATTGCGATGACAAAGTTTAAAAGAATATACACTTTTCATAATGAGAGGCGCCTTGGGGTGGCACAGCGCTCTCTTTCTTGTAACCGCGGCCTGTTTTTATCACATCGGCCGGTGGAGATCGCTGCCGTTTTTTTAAATTATATGCATATAGTCCTGTTGGGAATTCTATTGCGAACCCATTGATACCAAAATGAAAGACCTAGGACGATAATTGAGGTGACCAAAGTGAAAAGACTGTAAACATTTTATCCCTCTTGAGCGCTCCTGGGTCACTCGCTCGCACTTTCTCTGTTTGCTGTGGGTGGTAAGCCGGGCTTATGGAGCCTATATGCATTTCATCCACTAGAGAAATCCATTGCGAACACATTGATACCAAATTGAATATCGTAGGACAAAAATTGAGGTGACGAGTTGAAAAGAGTACACACTTTTCAGAATTTCCGCGTGCTCCCGTGAAACGCCCAAACCCACTTGGGGTAGTGGGGAGGTTGCACGCCCGGTGAGCGAAAGTGTCAACTAAAGCTCCACATCTGTTAACATGCCTGCATTTACTACGAATCTCAAATTTTCAATATAGTATCACGATTCCATGGCTATTTTGTATATTAGCAGGTTACACTGACAGTTAGAAATAACATGGAGAAACATAATATTTTACTAATACCAACTATGATTAGTTTAATGCTAAGCAGCAAGCAATTTATTTAATACATATATGAACGATTAAACGTTTTAAAGAGACCAACCTGTAATCCCTTGTTGTAAGACTCTATAAGCAGTGACTTCATGTCGATATCAGTATGCAGAATGGGTTTATTCTTGGCTAAAGTGAGCATCCCCAACCAATGGCCAAGGTTTTTCAAGAGAGACTTATCAGAATAATTGGCAGCCGATTTATCAGCCCTCAGAAGCACCTGAACAAAAAGAAATTAATGCTTCTATTATGCAATGATTCAAAAGCATTAAAATATTTTACTCTAAATTTGAAGTGTATCACATTTGTTTAACTTCAAGAATATGAATCATGGTTGAAAGCTAACTTTCTCACCTTGATATTCCTGAGGGTCTCCCGACAAACCATGGCATTTACATTGTTCATTTTCATCTGGTCCAAAAATAAAGAATAAAGTGTGTGAAAGTTGTTCTCAATGGATGCTCGCTTCATCACTAAATACTGTGCCACCCATAGCCAATATTCCTCCCCAACCACTTCACGCAACTCTTCACACTGTAAGGATGGAAAAAAGTATAATATGCATTTCTTCCAAAATATCTAGTCAATACACTTTTTTAATACACTTCTATCTTTCAAGAATATCTAGCAGTGAAGCATAAATAATCAAGTGCTTCACTTGGCACTAATTAAGGGCTTTCTTTCCTCTCTTATACTCAAGCCGAGGCCAAGATTCCCTAAATATAAATAACTTACACACAGAGCATAATGTTGTGCTATAAACTTGTTAAGGAATATTTATGGTTTACATTTACAATACTAATGGCAACCACCAGTCCATTCATGTACTTTTGAACATTATATAAACAAATAATTGAGTATACAACTTATGTTATTACCATTACTTTGTGTAATCTCCCTCTTTTGCAATATATTCAAAGTGCTACCAATCTCTTAATACTATTCCAAAAAGCAACATAATTTAAGTGCCAAATTATAAGCACTGTACTGTACAAATCTATCTTCACGTTAACAGATGATTTTTTCTTCCTGATTACTTTCAGAGTGAGCTTTCCCCCAAAACTGGTTCAAGTATAAATGAAGCTCTACTCTAGTATAAATTAAGGGTTATACACTTACTTTTTGTGGCAGGTTAACCTGTGCAAGATTATTGAAGATGAAGGCAACCTTGTCTTGCATGTGCTCAGGGGGTGGAGTGATTTTCTCTTCCTTCTCCGTGGCAACAAGAAGCGTCTCGATGTTGGTAGTAGTAATAGTTGGTTGCTGCTGAAGTTACCATCAAATTTGATTTGTTTAATTCGATTCATTTTGTAAGGTATTTATCGAATAATTATCTCAAAGAATCAAAATTGTTTTCTAGATAACGCATCATTAAAATTAAGATTTCATATATTAACAAACATTAAAAAAATAGTAGATTAACTTTGAATTTGCAGGAAATTTATTTAGCCAATTCATTAATTCAAGTGCATACACAAAACATGTGCAAACCTGCATGTGTACACAAGCAGCGAACAAAACACTGCACTGCTGTGCCCTCATAAAATTTAATTAAAATTGGGTGGAAGAGATTATGTCTAAAAAATTACACAAATATGACAAAAACCTTATTAAAACTAGTTTAAGATGGCATACACACATGTAAGCACTGCTTGTTTCCACGTTTGTCCCTTTCTCCTCATCAACTGATAAAAAATAGATTAAATATTTTCAAGGTTTCTCCGTTCATTAATACAACACAAATTTAATTGTAAATAAAAACTTTACTTACTTTGCCAGACCCAACTGCACTTGAATTATTAGGCATTGCCTGTGGTTTGGTAATTGCAGCAGTGGTAGTGGTGGTGGTTGTAGCAGTAATTGTTTTGGCCACTGATGACACAACAGTGGAGACAACTGGTGGAGGGGGAACCCCTACTGGAGTTACTGCAGCAGTCACTACAGATGTTGTCGTTCCTGGAGCAGGTGTGCTTGGAGAAACATTAATTGACGGAGGAAGGACAACACCAGAAGGACGTGTAGGTGGCTCTTGTGACTGCGTTCCATACTTGATATACTGTAAGTGCATTATAAGCAATTGTATTATGCATAGCATGCATTTATATTATATTTATATATATATATATATATATATATATATATATATATATATATATATATATATATATATATATATATATATATATATATATATATATATATATATATATATATATATATATATATATATATATATATATATATATATATATATATATATAAAATATATAAAACCTGTGTTGAATGTAGTGAAACTACAATTTCTGGACAAGCCCCACAAGCTCCCTGAAGCTACTATCTCTAATAGTGTGATATACTACTATGTCCCATCAATCACTATTCTAGTGGCCTATCGGGGACCATGAGCCAGAACCTGGCCCCTTTACATAGGCCCAGAAAGCAGTGGCATTTATGATTGATGTTTGGTTAATTTATTCATATCTGCTACCACTGAGGAAGGCACCCAGGTCAGCAAAACAAAACAAACCACTCCTGGCTTCAAACGAAAACACAGCCTCAAGAACGGCCTATAGAACTCCGCAACAATGCAAACGATCTTTGCATTGTTGTCACCAAAGGAACAAAAATAACATTGTGAGAGGAGCCTATGTGTCGCTTTCTAACTTCAGGCTTGCTTTTAATTATATGAATGGTGAAATACGAAAGAAACTTTTTATGACTTGTGAGATCAAAATTGGAATATGCAGCAGTTGTATGGTGCCCAAATATCAAGAAGCCCATAAATAAACTGGAAAAGGTGCAATGGCATGCTACAAAATGGCTTCTAAAACAGAAAACCAAGAGTTATGAGGAGAGACTAGAGGCATTAACCATGCCAAACCTAGAAGATAGAAGACAGAGGAGATATTATCACCACTTACAAAATAATAACAGAAATCGACCAAATTGGCAAAGAGGATTTCCCGAAACCAGCAACTTCAAGAACAAGAGGACACAGATTCAAGCTGAGGAAACAAAGGCGCTAAAAAAATATTTGAAAGTTTTCTTTTTCAGAGAGGCAGACGGTTGGAACAAGCTAAGTGAGAAGGTGGGAGGCCAAAAAGAGTCGGTAGGTTCAAAGCAGTATATGACAAAGAGTACCGTGAGGGTGGGACACCACGAGCATAACTCTGGTCATGTAAATACACTACGGTAATTACAGCAACAATACAATGGGCCGCCAGAACAACAGAGGCAACCCTACACACATTACCATCACACTTGAACAAGGAATGGTGCTGTTGATAACCATGGGCTGCCTCACTCTGCCCCAATTAATGCAGTTGGTGTGGGAGGAAGGTCTACCTTGTTTACAAGCTTGTGTTAGTTTCATGAAATTTTTATCATTTGTCTATATTGTTGGGGCTTGGAGGGGGGGGGGGAGAGAGAGTTCTATAGGTGGTTCTCGAGGCTGCAGTCTCATTTGAAGCCAGTAGTAGTTTGTTTTGCTTCGCTGACTTTCTTGGTTGCTTCTGCCTTCCTAACTGGTGGCCGAAATGAATTTAGCCGAATATAACTGAGGGCCACTAACACACTAATGGCCTTGATGACGACAAGAAACTGGTGGCTTGTCACAGGTCCCTGTATTTGTCCTGATAATTTTTTTCAAGCTGGAATTAAAATTAAGCACCTTTGGTATTTACAGCTTTGGTGAATAAGCAGTTCCATGGGTTTATATCCCAATAGGTGAAAAAGCTTCTCTTGTTTTCTGTCCTACATTGTGGTTTGTTGAGCTTGAAACCATTGCTCTTTGTTTGTGTTACATCTGACCTTTTCAAGAAGTTGTCTTGAAATACCCTCTAAACTGTTCAGCATTTTAAAGGTTTGCATGAGATCCACTCTGTCATGTCTGGTTTGCAGTGTCAGCCCTGTGGCCCTCAGCTTTTACTGGTATGAAAGTCAACTTATTCCAGGAACAATTTTCGTGTTGTGTTGAGTTGAATTTTCTCCAAAGCAGCTTTTTTTTCTGAAGATGTGGACTCCATGTCCAGATATAATAGTCTAAGTGAAAGCACACCAGAGAATTATACAGTTCAATAACTTTTTATTTTCCTTAAAAGTCAAAGGTTTGTTTATTTTGATTATAAATAAATTTAAAATGAAAAAAATGAATAATTAATGTTCATAAATAAATTAATACAAATATTATCATAAATGCCACCATGCCCTGTGCTTCTGTGAGGGGAGGGGGGGCAAGTTCTGGCTAATGGTCCCTGATAGGACAACAGGACTCCACAACCAATGGGACCTAGTAGTATGGCACACTATCAAAAGATAGTAAGCTTCAGGGAGCCACAAGGGGCTCCCCCCCCCCAGAAAATGCATTTTATCAAACATTGACTATATAATATACAATCAATAAACTTCATTTTTGCAGGAACTTTATATCAATCAATTAATATTTCTACAAAATAACACACTAAATTATATACAATACTGTATTAAGCCATACCTCAATAAGGTGAGGTGGAAACTCGCTGAAATGTTGTATTGCCATCAGGTGTTGACAATATCGTGGATACTCTTTTAAACGACTACGAAATCTATCTAAGGCCACAATACCAAAGTAATACATCTTACTACCATGAGGCTTCTGGAGAGCCTCCATCACATACCGCAGTGCAACTCCTAAAGCCATGTATCTGTAGAAGAAAGATGAGAAAATAAATATGTACACATATACCGTCTGCATGTATTTATGTACATTATAATATATTATATATATATACTGTATATGTTGTACCTAGTAGCCAGAACGCACTTCTCGGCCTACTATGCAAGGCCCAATTTGCCTAATAGGCCTAGTGATTTTCTTTATTTTCAATAAATTGTTTCCAATTAGTTTATTTGAATTATTATTTTTATATTATATTAGGAACTAAGTTATTGACTTAGTTGTGTTTGTTTAGGTTAGGTTTAGATAGGTTAGGTTAGGTATAGTTGGTTAGGTTCGGTCATATATCTATGTTAGTTTTAACTCAAATTTAAACAAATTAACTTATACATAATGAAATGGACAGATTTATCATGTCATAAGAAAAAAATTAGAAAAATATATAAATTCAGGAAAACTTGGCTTATTAGGCAAATTGGGCCTTGCATAGTAAGCCGAGTACGATGTTCTGGCTACTAGGTACAACATATACACACAATTTTGTTTATACAAAACTTTGTTTAAATTTTTAACAAAATTGAGATCATTGTGCCTTGAATGGGTGTGCCCTTTAATATTTAGCATATAAACTAAGTGTTCACACGACCAACAAATAAATTTATTCTCACAGTATACCCCTCGAGTTTGTTTCAGGTGCATAATCATGCCAATAAGCACTTGTTCATAAAATAAATGCCTTGATTAATAAAAATCACACACTCCAGTTTACCTAGCTGTTGAAGAGCCACATATGGAGGAATATAACAGGGGAGATCACCTGACCAGAGTAAACACTCGAAGGAAAATCACCAAGTGACACGGTGCATGGGAAACAAAACAATTCAAAGATTCTCACAGTAGAGAACCGAAGTAAAGACAAATACGAAGGGACAAAAATGACATACAATGCTAGAGAGACCCTTGTTGTCATTGAGTAGCCAGAACAAAAACACATGACCAAACATTTGTGAAATGAAATAAGAGCCAAACCAGATATAACCATGGCTGATAATTGCCAATAATTATCCTGCCATACACTTTGACCATGAAACTTTGAAATAATTCTCACACTTGCCATGTTCTCTTTAATTTTTTATCATGGTGTAATCATTGATCTTCCCCACATTCCTCTGGTATGAGTAGTTGTAAATGGAAAATGTGAGAGAGAGATCTCGCTCTTTATGCCTTGCCTACTAGCCATTTATATCAAAGCATTAGATAGCTTTATACAGTATCAGGCAAATATCATTAAGACAGTAGACATATACAGTGGAACCTCGATTAACGAATTTAATCTGTTCCGGCATCGAGCACGTCATGTGAAATTCTCGTATTTCAAAACAAATTTCCCCATTTAAAATATTGGAAATAAAAATATAATCTGTTCAACCACCAAAAAACATCAATATGATATTCGATTTTTTATATAATGGAGCAGCCTACCTGACATTCACCGAACGAACCTTTACGACGCTTTTCCCTTTTTCAAATCTGTTAAATTTTTTTTTTAAGAAACATGGAGCAGCCTACCTGACATACATTGAAGAAACTTTTATGACAATTTTTCTTTTTTCAACTTTGTTCATTTTTTTATTTTTTTCATTTTTTTTATAGCAAAAAGTTCATTCAGTGTATGTCAGGTAGGCTGCTCCGTTAAGACAATCTTTCTGTTTCAAATTTGTTCAATTTGTTTTGTATTTTTCATTTATTTATTAATAATGGAGCAGCCTACCTGGCACACACTGAAAGAACCTTAATGACATTTTTCCTTTTTTTTTCAAATTTTTTTCATTTTTTGTTTTTTTATTTTTTTAAACGCTTAGACCACACAATACATACTGTATAGATGATCTGAGTAACAAAACCGGAACCGCGCGATACATTAATAGCTGTTTTAGTGTCGAGCGCCTTGATTTAAACACCCCGCGAGGGATAGGGGCAGCTATAAAGCACCCATGACCGATAGTTGAGACGCACCTAGAAAAAAAATCATGGCCAACATTCCTGGGTGTGAGAGCTTCAGTACTGAGTGAGCCACCAAGGCTGACACGCGCAGCATGAGCTCACAGAACCGCTGTTTAGCTTGTGACCACAGCATCACCTAAACAGTCAACAAATATATATGTACATGCTATTATTTAACGATGACAGTATTACAGAAGACCCCTGACTGTGATAATACTGACCAGGATTCTAATAGCAAGATTGTGGTGATATTTAGGGCTGTGCTCCATGGTGGGGAGGAGTAATGCTGAGGGAGGGAGGGAGATGGCATCGTCTTCTGACTGTTTGGCCACCTTTTATTGACCGGACTTACCATACCAGCTTAGTGGTTCGCTATGGTGAACACAAATGTAGATACTTACATATCAACCCGTTCTCGCACTTGCTTATAGTCAATATTGGCTTATTTAATAAGTGCATATGTGACATACTAATTGATTGTGAATATTTTACTTTACCTTGAAAAGCTTCATGGAAAACACCGACCTCACCTAACCTTCTTAGTATGTTAAGATAAGCATCTTATTGCTTCTTATTTATAATTATACTTAACCTATCAATGTTATAGGTTAAGTAATAATTGTAAATAAGAAGCAATAAGATGCATATCTTAACATACTAAGAAGGTTAGGCGAGGTCGGTGTTTTCTATGAAGCTTTTCAAGGTAAACTAAAATATTCACAATCAATTAGTATGTCACATATGCACTTATTAAATAAGCCAATATTGACTATAAGCAAGTGCGAGAACGGGTTGTACATATAGCATGTGAATAGTGTAATAACAGCAATAGGAGTATATTTGGGGCCGCCATTTTGGTGAGGGAGGTGCGTCATCTGCATGACATGTTTTGTTGTTTACTGATGGCCACTATGGTCTTTGGGCACCATACTAGCTTATTTGTACAGGTATGGTGAATAAAACATGTACTGTAGATACTTATATATAATGTGTGCATATAATGTAATAACACCACAAACAGTATTGTTGAAGGAGAAATATTAGTGCGTCTGACCTTGAGGGCGGCCGCCACCAGCTGTGTGAGTAGCTACGTCTTATTGCATTTACTCACCATACAAGCTTAGATGTACAGTTATGGTGAACAAAACATGTAAATACTTATATATATAGTCTGTGTATAGTGAATAAATGCAAAAACAGTATCGTGGGAGATGAATGTGGGCGAGTGAGGTGTTGTTGAGGGAGGGAGTGGCAGCAAGTGGCTGGCTGGTGTGTGGCGGTCACTCCTCGTTGCTTTTTGACACACAATACCAACTTAGTGGTTCGCTATGGCAAACAAACCATGCAGATACTTATATATAACCTGTGTATATAGTGTAATAACAGCAAAACTATTTGTTTATTGTTTTATGAACATAATTGAATCACTAATATGCACACGATAATTTTGAGTATAGCGATGGTTCACACATTTTATTATATAAAGATATCACAATACACCGTTGAATATTATTACTGCAAAAAAATAAAGAAAAAATCAGACATTGAAATAATTAGGTAATATCATCTTAGTGGCAACTGCTGCTTGACAGCTCGGGCAGAGCAAACCTCGCCTGGTGACTGCTCTGTCAACCCCCCTTTTTTGCCAGACTTCCCTACCCTATTGTGGCTAAAATATGCCACCTATGATTTTTTTTTTTTCCGTGATCAGGGAACACAAATGAACAATTTCATAAGACGAAAGAATTCTTTGGATTCTTTTTTTTTGTTGCGCCTATGAGTGTTGAAGGCAAAAAGGCCCTTAGCGGTCTGAGGGTTAAGAAACATGGAGCAGCCTACCTGACATACATTGAACGAACCTTTTGCTATTAAAAAAAAAAATAATAAAAAGTGAACAAAGTTGAAAAGAACAAATGTCAATGGTTAATTTTGTTCATTTTTTTTTTTGGTTTATTCTACAAAAAAATACAATGCTGTGCAACATCACAGCAGTCACCCCTTTACATCCCAGCATCATTAGCATCTTTAACAAAAAAATTAATTTATTTATATTGTCGGAGGCGTCCGAGAATATGTGAGAAGCAGCAGGAATGCACCATGCAGTTTTATCGTTAATCAAACGAGCATTCACCAATTGAGACAAAATTGTCGGCAATCAGTGTGCTCGTTATTCAAAATGCTTGTAAATTGAGGCGCTCGTCGCTCGAGGTTCCACTGTACATCAACAGATGCACAATATTAGAAAAGAGAATGAAACCTTGGGAGCAATCTTATGGTTAAAACAGACATAAAATCAAGTAACTGTTGATAAAAGTGCCACAAGCAAGTACCCTCAAAAGTTTTTCATGAAAAGAAGTCGGTAAAATGTGAAGAGGAAGGATATACAAATACCAGCTGAAGAACAGAAATAAACAAATGGCTACTCAAATTTAAACCCAAAAATGCAAAGCAATAGTGTGGGAAAGGGAAGCAAATACCAAGGAAACAAGACAGTTTATGTGGGTTCAATTCAATGTATCAGAGTATCGAAGTGGATGTAACACGTCACACACACATTAACAGATTACCTAGATGTGTATACAAGACTAGCAAACATAAGAACTTAACCAAGACATTCCTCAGTATAATATATATTAAAAATGTTAGCCCAGTCCTACAATATGCAAGTCCAGCACTGAACGTACAGCTGGTAAAGCATAAGAGAAAATTTAAAATGTCCAAAGATTTGGCACAAAGCAGTTACCAGTATTAGGAGAAAAAGCTGAGGACAGGCTAAAGGAACTGTAGTACTCTACTGACCCTGAAAGAGAGAACAGGTGGTCATATGGTAACAATACATCTTTATACTGTTGACTGCCTGCTTTGGAGGAGCAATCGATTGGACTAAGTCAGAAAAAATAATATACAGGAAAACAAAATTCCTATTGGGAACAACTAATAACAGTAAGAAACTTACTCTACAAGACCCTGCTCAATGATCCCACCAAATAGTCTTGCTGTAGTGAAGAGTTCCTTGTCAGGGTAAGTTGGGAAGAAACGATATTCTTCAAACAGATTACGTAACATGCAGGAATATACTTCTCGTTCTCGCTTATTAGTAGACTCGTGAAACTTCTTCAGCATATCCAATACCTATAAAGAAATTCTTAATTTTTTCAAAACATCCCTATAAAATTGTATCTAAATTTTGAATTTTTCTATCGTATATATCTTAACATTATTTACTGTGTGCTAATACCGCAAACTAAGCCTGTCTTTCCATTCACCTGTCTTTGATTATGGAGCCATTCCAATATATAGAAACTGGAAAATTAACTGAAGCGTCAATATGTGCCACACAATTTCAGGTACTAAGGCAGGCCAAAATGTTAGCAATGCATAGCCACAGTAATAAAACATACAATTTATACCAACAATAAAATACTGTATTACCATGCATATATGGAGTTCATACACTTGACAACTAATTTCAGAAAATCAAAATTATCGCTCAAATTAATAGATTAGAGCATTTTCTGATAAAAGCATGGGATTTCTTATTTACTCTGGCAAACACTTAAGTTTCAATATTTAAATCAAATGAGAGAGCGTATGATGAAAGAGCAAGTTATTTTTAACCTCCTCCTTTCACAATATTGCTCCCCTCTTCATTGTGGGCCAACTCTTACCGACCCCATGAAAATGCCAAATGGGATAATAATTATAATGACAAAGATATAGGAAACTGCAGGAAGACTTTTGCCTCATGCTAGACTGGCTGGCGTCTTATCCATATGAAAGGGTAGATGTTCTTCATGCTGCCCTCTAGTGCTTCTCTATTTTTAACCCCATGTTATTACTCTTGGGTGTCCGACTCTCACTTGTAACCAGGAGCGTTTGCTCACCACAGCAAACAAAATATTACAAAAAATTACATAATTCTCGTTTATGTAATTTAAGATACTGTAAATACATACTGATATTCCACTATTTTGGATTCCTCAGAATAAATTTTTAATGGTGCTAAAAAGAATATTTATTATTCTAGGTAGATGGTTTGTTTGGGGTGTTTAAACATCCAAGGGAACTAAGGTAGGGTTAATAATCAGGACTTTCATGGCACAATACACTTTACTTCCAAGACTTTACTCTTAACCATTCCTGCACAAAACACTTTTTTGTTGATTACAGTGACCAAGTATTTAAAGTGATCACAGAATATATTTAGATTGCCAAAAAGTCTACAGCACTTGACTACTCTAGATATAACTACAACTGAAGCAGTGCTATTCTACTTCCATTCTTCTAACACATTTCCTCCCCTATTCTCTACTTGTACCTCTCTTCCAATATTGAAAACCCCCTTTCCCCATCTTCTGCTGTATTATTCCACTTGGAATATCAGGTGATCAATGAATGTGTCTTTACCCTATTCAAGTCAGCTAAGCCCCTGTAGCCCATTCAATCTTGAATTTTGCACACATGTGACTCCACTGCACCAGTCTTTATTCTTTACGAAGCCTATACATCTTAATTCCCATCACTCTCTTTTTACTCCAGCTCTGATAATGTCTGCCCAATTCCATCCTTCATTTTATCTTTCTTTAAAAGCTTCTTTTAACATACATCTAGAATGTCATACCTGCTCTAAATAAAAACTTTAATAACTTTTTCCTAATTTATTCCCCTTACACTTTACAAATCTAAACTAGCCTAACTTTGTTTTCTAGGGCACAGACAAGCACAAGCCCAAGATTCAATTCCAATTTTGGCCTTAATGGAAGACATTTACAAATACACATCCCAAGCCCAGTCTTCTCACTCCTTTACTGCAGGGAATAATAAACTACTAATAATCACAATAGTGGTTGATGGGGTCATAACATACCCACTGTTTAGTGGATCTCTAATGAAATACTTGCCAAAAATTTTCTTTTTTCTACTTATAATATTTATTACACACTTGCAAGAACCTACCTCTTCAATAGAAAGTGTAGGGTGCGGAGGGTGGTTGTAAATACGCTGGAAGTAGCTATTGGCTTCATCCTCTACCTCCTTGCTCACCATCTGAGGCATGTCAAAAATCTGGGAGATATCCACTGAAGAAGAAATAAAGAGGTTACATTATTTTATAGTATATTAACATATATTAAACTATTTTTTGTGACATCAAAATTTCTTTCTGCCCTATAAAATGTTCAAGTTTTCAATCACAAAGAATCATCCATTGTTAAAAACCCTATCCCCCCCAGGGGTACTGTGCTTTCTCTAGTATTTTTTCTTAACCTCATATTGGGCATACAAGGACAAACCATAGTACCGTATCATCTCTTGCAGATACTAGGATTTTGACAAGTAGACTATAGAGAGGACACAGCTAATCTCGTAACTGATGTAAATGAGGCCCGTGGCCTTTTACGTGGGCTATTGAAGCCCACATAAAATAATATGATATTAATGAAAGTTTCTTCTCTTGCACTATGATAAAAATGAAAATCTATAAATGGAAACCATGTATAAAATGCCGTCAAATCACACTATAGAACGAAAAAGCAACATAAAAGAATAGGGGGATAACCATATGGGAAGACTTTACTTTTAACCCCTAGACAGCAGCTATGGAGAAATGGTCATACCCACCCATGCAAAAAACATGCCTTTCAAACAAGAAATGAAACGCCAATGAAAATACTTTTCAAGACACTAGTGCTCTCTAGAGTGGAATACTGTTAAACAATAGCAGCCCCAATCAAAGCTGTAGAAATTGGTGACCTGGAGAATGTGTAAAGATCTTTTACTGTTGGAATTTACTGAATAAAACACAAACAAAACAATTATTACGACCACTTAAAATTTTAAAATCTGTATCCACTAGAGCACAGGCAGGAAAGATTCATAATAATTTGAATTTGGAAAACATTAGAGGGACTAGAGATGCATAATTAACACTTGGAAGATATTTGAGGGACTGCTGCTACATCTGCACATGGAAATAATACCACAAGAGATCAGAAGGCTTAACAGGAAGTGCAAAATAACCCGTTGAAATGCAGAGGTGCTATAAGCACGCTGAGAGAACTATCAACATCAAAGGCCCAAAACCTTTCAACATTCTCCCTTTAAACACAAGGAACATACCCACAAGGGCTGTGACGAGGATTTGAACCTGTGTCCGAGAGCATCCCAGACGGTGCCTTAATCGACAAAGAGAAGAGAAAAGGGAGAACGGCCTATTGACATAGCTTGAGTGCATGGGGGAGTTGTGTAAAACCCTGGTTTGTGCCTAGGAGAGGCTGCAGGATCCAGTAAGTTCAGTAGAACTTCGATTTCAACTCCTTTTGACCATGTTGTAGCTCAGTCGATTAAGGCACTGTCTGGGATGCTCTCGGACGCAGGTTCGAATCCTCGTCACGGCCCTTGTGGATTTGTTCATTTGATGCATCACGCAATTGTGATTTCTATGTGTAATAAGGAACATAACAAGTAACTTGTTAAATATCTCCAAAAAAATACCAGATCAACTAGGCTGTGATTCATGTGTGCCATGATTGTGAGCAGTTACTGGTCTGCTGGCCTGGCTCAACCAGATGAGCAGACCAGCAGGTGGTCTGGTCAGCCTGGTTGACCAGACCACAAAGAAAGCCCGATCAGAGACCGGGCCGTGAGGACATTAATCCTTCGAACCATCGTAAGATAACCACAAGGTAACCCTGTCAAGAGCTCAGGTTTCTGAAGGCGTAACAAAGTATTTTATTAAGCTTCACAAGCTGATTTAGATACATTTTATTAGTAATTCTTTGGCTAAGAAATAATATACAAAGTTCACAACCATCTTAACAAAGCGTAAGAAGTAACCAAAATATGTTTCAGTAACAGCCAATCACAGGAGGTATTGCTAGATCCTATGTCAGCAATTCCTCTCAAATCACAATACAAAATAATTTTAATGTTCCTAAAAACTAATTATGTATGCATGCATATATATATATATATATATATATATATATATATATATATATATATATATATATATATATATATATATATATATATATATATATATATATATATATATGGTAAAATATGAACATGACTACTTATTATGCAATATAAGAAACCCTTCAGATGCTGCCAATGTTTTCATCAGTGAAAAAAAGGGGGTTGGGACATATCTAGTTGGTTACTTAGCAAAACAACTCCAGTACATGGCAGATACCTGACTTCAATACTGTAACCTTATATTTTAATGTAAATTAATGAGAGACAATGAACAAGAACAAAATTTTAATGTGCCATGACTAAATTACTTTATGATGGCAAAAAAGGCCTGGAAAGTTGGAATTAACACAAAAAAGTGAGGATAAAAACAGAGAAAAGAAAACCATACTGTTTCCACAATTTTATTTTCAAGGTTGCCTGTTTCACCAATAAACTATAATTAAGGTGCAAAAAAGATTTTGATTTCTTCCTGGCTGTAATGTGCTCCTGGTGGTATTTGTGAGAGCAACTGGCAGCCCATAACACAAATAAACTAATAAATAACCCTTTAATCAAAATTTCTGCCACTTATGAAATTTGGAATTGTTCTGATAACGATTGCTGCATCTAACCTATTCCATTTACTGACAGCTCTAACACTGAAAAAGTTCTTCCTGATGTCTCTATGACTCATTTGCATCTTGCTTTCAAGGTTAATAATGCTGACCTGGCTGTACTGGGACAAGATTTTTTAAAGGGAAGCAAGCCAAAGAATCACCAGAGCCCAGCTGATGACTATAATCAACTCTTAAGTGAAGCAAACAGCATATGATGTACAATGCATCACAGGCATATGTTGCATGTGAAAAGCAATGCAAAAATTAGAACTACAGGTTGACAATTTATTCAGCAATTTGTAACAAGTAACTGCCTGGAGTGATTTTTTTATTATAAATGTTCTCTTATTTCTCAGGCACTTAATTTTAATCTCTCCTATTATTTATAAAGAATTTTTCATGAGTTGAAACCTTGTAAACCTAAAAACTAATTTTAATTACCTTGCTGTTAGTTACACATGTCATTTTAGTATAAATATACAGGATAACATTTACAGTTACTTGACAAAAAACAAATTGTTAACTCACTTTGTCTGGCCGGGGCAACACTTGGTTGCACTGAATGAGATCTTAGTGAAGAGGGAATAATAGATGAAGTAGGTAGAGTGGCAAGCTGGGATCCCACTGCAGGATGTGGTGGTCCCAGCTGTAGAGTAGGTAAAATTGAAGAAAGAGGAGACTGTGAAGTTCCAGCAGTAGTGGAGGGTCCAAGTGGACGGCCCGGAGAACCTGGGGCTGTACCAAGTGACCCTAAATTTCCAAGACTCATGGATGATGAGGGTGCAGTTGGGAAGATTGTGGAAGACACACCAGCACCAAGACTTAAATTGCTTAGACTGGAAGCAATACTGCCTAATGGTCCTTCACTTGACTGAGTTGGTCCAGGACCTGGGAATCCAATCTGAAATGACAAGATACACAAAATCAATTTAAACTCGATGTTGCACATTAAGTTACTTCAGAGCCAGCACACCTCATGTTACACACATAGGACGGTTAAGAGAGTACAGAGGATGAATGACTACAGGCAGGTATAATGAGACTGCTGGTGGTTACAGGCAGTTGCGAGACCAGGTCTGTTTGTTATTAAAGATTGAGGGAGAAACAAGTTGTAGAAGACAATTGCTATCATTAGTACCCCATTTACCATTTTCATGGCTAGGGAAGTCATCAACACAGCAAATTATATTAAAAAGTTTAACATAATAAAATATAAAACCTGTATTTTAATATGTAGTATAAATAAGACCACCACCACACTCCCAACCAATGCACAGCGGCATCTCATAGTTTCATTCATCAGCCAAACAGTGCTTCACGTAAGATGTTACAAACATGACATTTATTCCACAAACTACTGCCACCTCGTCTTGTTCCCTACCACATCTCATGCTCTCTTCACTCTGACATTTGTCCAATTTCTTAGTATCCTCTCTAAGCTCCTATCCTTAAATTCACTAATACTCTCCTCACTAGTCTTGTTTTATATACTCATTCCACATGACCATCTTGGCTCTCTCTAAATTGAAATTTACTGAATTTTGCACTCTAAATTTGTATTCCCTAAGTCTACTTAACATGCAGACTGTTTCTCAGATTGTTCATTTATTTTGCTTTAATTCTTGATGTGTTCTCATTTACACTGCAACAGCACTTCAGAATTCATATATAGTTAGGAATTACTATTCCCTTGTGAAGCCTTCTGGACACATCTCTTCCTATAACTTTCTTTTAAAATAAGATTTTTGCTGTACCAACCATTCACCCAACCACTTGGGCTGGACAGTAGAGTGACGGTTTCGCTTTATGCAGGTCGGCATTCAATCCCACACCATTCAAGTGGTTGGGCACCATTCTTTTCCCCCATCCCATCCCAAATCCTAATCCTGACCCCTTCCCAGGGCTATATAGTCATTATTGGCTTGGCACTTTCCCCTGATAATTCCCTCCCCTGTATCAGCCACTTTCCTTCCTTGACTCTGCTTCAACATTCTTTCACAAATTTATCTGTCAATCACTTATTCCAGATATTTAACTTGCCAATCACTTCCCACCTTCCTCCATTTTTTCTCAATTCTTTATCAATCATAACTTAATAAAACTTCCAAATAATTTGAAAATCTCCTAGGCTCTATTTAAAGAACTGCATCATATGTATATATCACGCCAATTGTTTTCATCACACACTAGATACACACCTTGCTCTAATAACCTAACACAACTGCCATCACCATCCACATACAGTACAATAACCTAACACAACTGCCATCACCATCCACATACAGTACAATAACCTAACAACTGCCATCACCATCCACATACAGTACAATAACCTAACAACTGCCATCACCATCCACATACAGTACAATAACCTAACAACTGCCATCACCATCCACATACAGTACAATAACCTAACACAACTGCCATCACCATCCACATACAGTACAATAACCTAACACAACTGCCATCACCATCCACATACAGTACAATAACCTAACACAACTGCCATCACCATCCACATACAGTACAATAACCTAACAACTGCCATCACCATCCACATACAGTACAATAACCTAACAACTGCCATCACCATCCACATACAGTACAATAACCTAACAACTGCCATCACCATCCACATACAGTACAATAACCTAACAACTGCCATCACCATCCACATACAGTACAATAACCTAACAACTGCCATCATCATCCACATACAGTACAATAACCTAACACAACTGCCATCACCATCCACATACAGTACAATAACCTAACACAACTGCCATCACCATCCACATACAGTACAATAACCTAACACAACTGCCATCACCATCCACATACAGTACAATAACCTAACAACACAATGCCTAGAGAAACATGAAACTCATAGTAACATCTCAATCTTTCCAGTGCATCCGATTTTCAGTTGGAAAATGTTCAAAACTAGAGAGGAGAATGAGTGGTGGCTGTGTGGTGGATGGATGGTGAAATCTATAAAGCTGTGAAAAAAAAAATGGCTATGCAATGCAAGCCAATACCATAAATTTAACATTAAACAAAAAGCACAAAAATCTCGACTCACCACTCCCACTTGTTGCGTGCGAGGTCTGTTCATCAGATTACAGTTCTGCACCATTTGCAATATGGTGTCAGACAGTTCTTGCGAGACATTCCTGCAAAATTATCACACACATTAGCACATAGGACAACACTGGCATCCATATTTCTAATATAATTTACAGAAAATAATAGTATTTATGCATTTTTACCCTTTTATAACAAAATTCTGTCATTTTAGCAGGCTTTGTTATCACTTTGTACTGATTTACTGATAAATGGCTAATCTTGAATATAACGTTAATAAAATATTTTCCATTTTATCTAGAGCATAGTAAAAAAAAAAAAAGTACGGTACTCACATAGCACATGCATTTAAGCAAACAAGAATAGTAGCCATTGTCTCAGGAGGTAGCTGTGAAGACTTTGGCATTATATCTTCTTTACCACCCATAAGCTGAGGACATCGTCGCTGAAGGAATTTTATGCAAGAGGATATAAAGGGCTCTCCATGTTCACGAATCTTGTCTGTCAGCCACTTGTCCAGCTTTAAAAATTCACCTAAATTAAAAAAAAAAAATAGATTAGATTAATTGCTTATATAATTTGTAACGTTTGTATTCTCTCTATTTTTGAGACATCACTGAAATTCTCCTTCCCCTGATAGCACTCCAAACAGGCTCAAAATCAGCCACTAGGAGGCTACAAGATATTTTCCAGACATGGACACCACAAAAATAAATACAATCCTGTAAAACCCATAAGACATCCCCTACTTAACATCCAATTATACCAAATTTTTATTATATAGCTATCAAATGTTATGATAAAAACTTACGTCTGTATGCCAAACAAGCCAAATCCACTACAAAAGGAAATGACTGGGCATTGAGGAGAAGTGATAAAGCCTTAAGATCTTGTGCAACATCCAGAATGCGACCAAGTCTTGTCTGATCATTTTCCATCATCATATACCACTCTGCCATTGCATGCATGATGATCTGACGAATTGTACTTGAATGATTCTGCAAAGAAAAAAATTTTTACTTTAGAAAATGCATAGCAAATAAAATATATTTAGGTAAATATAATATTACAGATTTCAAGTCTTCAAATCTTGTCTATTATTAATTAATTGAAATAGAGCTAATTTAATGCAGTTCTGTGTTACATTTATCAATTTATGTGTAAGTTTGAAGTACATAATTCCTCCTCTACCACAAAATTCTTTAATATGTGCAGAAAGACGATTCTCACGAGATCTACACACAATACTTTACCTTTCTCCCACAACACATTTCTTATGCATACAATCTATAATGTTTCCTAATTCATCCATATTCTAAGATATATTTTATGCATCATCATTTTGAAACCACCGAACAAACTTTGCACTTAACATTACTATTCTAAAATTTCACATACAATTCTGAAAGACTGGAATTGATTCGGGCAACTAAAAGAAAGATCGATTTAAATATTGGACTCATTTAAACAATATGCATGAGCACCCAGTATACCTTGACGATTTTAATAATGTCAAGATTTGAGATTTTGCCAAACTATCTCTTTGCTGCAATTTACAAACAAGGAAGTGATCAAATCTTTCAAGGCATATTCCCAACTTGTCCACTACTACTATTAGTGGAAAATATCAGAGGAACAGGTTCCATATCAGAACACGGAGATTACAAAACATGAAACCAGTAGTCATGGCAGGATGTGCAAAACACCCCCGTTGAAAAGCAGGTGTGCCACAGGTACAGGTATGCTGAGAGAGAACTATCAACATCAAGGGGCCCAAGACTTTTCAATATACTCCCACTACACGTAAGGAGCATAACTGGCGTGTCTCTCACAGTGTTCAAGAGAGAACTCGACAAACACCCCTGATCAACCAGGCTGAGAGATTCATACGTCAGGCTACGAGCAGCCGCATCCAACAGCCTGGTTGACCAGATGACCAATCAAGAGGCCTAGTCAGAGACTGTGCTGCAAAGCCGTTTATCCCCGGAACTACCACAAGGTAGCCATATTACACTAATAATTTTTGCCAAGGCAGGTCAAGCAAATGAACATATGGGAACTAGCCTCAAGGAGTTCTGGTATGGTTACTCTACATACAAGTCAGTAAGGAACATGGCAAAAATCATAAAGATAAAAACACCAACATTAATGGTGTTTGGAAAAAGGTTTGCTTTTACTGTTCTAAATATTTTAAGTTTTGAAAAGCAGTTGAAAGTACATGCGTAGGAAAACACACACAATAACATGATATATCCATGAGGAAATTATTGGTGCAAGAATGGAGATCAAATCAGCATCTTGGGTAACTCCAGATGCATGCCTTCACCCATGGACCATGACATGCTAAAGATTATATAATCTGGGGATCAGCCCAAATCCACTAGGAGTCAGGAGGCACCAAGCTGGTAGCCAACCCAAGTTTTACACAAAACATATCTAGCATGATATGGTCCATGGGTTAAGGTGCACATCTGGGGTTACTCCAGACACAAGGTTCATACCATCCTACTCCAATGATTTTCTCAACAGTTGAAGATGAGTGAAAATACTATTTTTGATGTACCTGTTACCTAGCAATAAACAGGTACCTAGAAGCTAGACAGCTGCTATGGGCTGCTTCCTGGGGGTGTGTAACAAAAAGGAGGCCTGGTTGAGAACCAGGCCTCGGGGACGCTAAGCCCCTAAATCATCTCAAGATAACCTCAAGATAGATGCCCATGGTTCTCAGTATAATACTGTGTAAATATAATATAAACAGTTGGATTATTATTTTTATATAGCAAATCCTCAACTAATGAATGGGATGCGCACCATAAAAGCATTTGAGTCAGAACTTGGACGAAGTTCAAGTTCAGTAACAGCCCATCAGGGTGAAAGAAACTGCCCATTTGTTTCCTTCTCCACTGGGAATCGAACCTGGAACCTCGGGACTACGAATTCCGAGCGCTATCCACTTAGCTGTCAGCCCCTAGGCCACTCAGGACAGGTCAGGCATACATTGAAATTTAAGAAAGACATCTTACCACTGTTGGAGTCATTCTGAAGTCTATGGTAGTATAAAACAAGTCATGTACAAGAAGCCAGCTGTTGCTGAATTATAATGTACATGAATATTACAACAAATTTAAAGATATCCTAAATAAAGCTTAGAAGTAGGATGCACACAGAATGAGTGAGCAGGAAAGTGCAAGACGGAAAGCAACAGGAATGAATGGGGGGGGGGGTTTGTGTGCTGAAGATTATATGGATGAAAAGAAATCTAGATAAAAGTATTGAAGGATATATAACCTGATAACATGTAAAATAGATGGATGGCTAGAAACATAAAGGAAGAAAAATAAGCAGAAAAATTAAAATTAACAAAATCATAAGGTATCCCCTACTGGGACAACCTAATTACCTAACTTACCTGAGTGTGCCAAGCATGATGTAGAATGATTGCTGCATTTGGGTGATTTCCAAGAAAAATTGGAATGAGTGAAGCAATAAGGTCTTGTCGCAACATGGTGTATGGAAGCGTCACCTGTCAAATAAAAGGTGATTAGCACTTTGGCTTCGCGATAACGTTATTGCAGTCCTTAAATCAATAGAGGTAGTTCGGTAGAGAATGTTAACGCCGTCCAATTAAAATATTTGTACAAATTCCAGATATTTTCAGATTATTATGGGACTTGTTTTAAAATGCACACTATTCTATTGTCAATAATTTGATACTAATGAACTACATAGCAGGAAAAATGAAGTCAGAAAACTGGAAAGAGTATAAACATTGAAGTGTGACGGAGTGCTCATGGGCAACACCTGGCCGACTTTGACCTTTGCTGGGGAGTGCACCCATGTGCCAAGGAGACCTGGAGATGGCATGCCGGGCCAGAACTGGGACAATGAAAATGTTAAGAATAACACTTCTGAACCCGTGAATACACACACTCAAGTTGATATTAGGTGCATGTTTGATGTTAAAACACATAAATGGTCGTTAGGAAACTAGATAAGGAATGATTTATATCACTAAACAATATTTAGTTATTCTATGAAAATATTGTCAGCCAACAAGTTGATATACATGTTCTCAACTTTAATAAACATTGTGATGAACTAATTTATTCCTCTCTCTCTCTCTCTCTCTCCAGCATATTGCAGGAGTTAGATTATTAACGTAGGGTTTGGCTCATAACTGGATAGCTAAACACTCAAGACATCCTTAACCAGACACACAAGTTACTTAGGAATAAGTTCTAGTGCTATTTTACTAACAATAGCTAAAGGCCTTACTTGGTAATGGATAAATAATGAGGAAAGTTACACAATACTGAAAACAGGAAATTACTATGGGACTAAACTTCTAAATTTTAATAGCAGCCATACTTTTATGCTTAACCTTATGTATTTCAAGTTTCAAGTCAATAAATTGAGATACTGAACAAATATCTTGGATTAAAGGGGAAGAAATAACATAAAACTATGGGCATCCTTACCATGGATACCAAAATATGAATGACTGGGTTTTCTCACCTGAACCAAGCCAAGCACCAAAATGTCTGGGCAATGCTGGATAGGAAATTTGAACAATTCTTTGACAGCTGTAAAATGCCCAGCCTCCCCAAGGTAAAGAAGAATCTCTAGAAGTTGCACTGATTTCCATGTTGCCACCTGTAAATCAATACCAGCAATTAACAAAGATGACCAAAATGTCCAAAAATCAGTAGCAATAACCAATTTTGACACAATAAGCAGCCTATAAATAATTCAAATAGCTTCATAAACAATTGTTCACATAGCATACTTAATGCGATATTCAATTACATAGAGAAATTAATAATCATTAAAAACACTTCAACATAGAGCATTTATCACATATCACAACTTTTTAGCATAGTTTTCAAGATTTACCTCTTTGTTATCAAGCTCTGGCAGAGTTTTAAGGCAATCAGTTGACACCAAGTGGCAAGGAAAATCTACGAAGCAAAATATTTCAGAATTCTTGAGAATCTGAGTAATAAGACTTAATTGCTCTTCACTGTTCTTCCACTGGTGATAAAAGCAATCTACTGGAAAACAGTCCAACCTCAATCCTTGGCCTTGGAGAAGACATCTAGAACAAAAATTATGGTTTATTTAGACCAAATCAACAGTTAAAATATAGGTACCCAATCGACATTGTTAAGAGTCCAACAATCAAAAAAAAATTAAGTAAAATTCAAGTCTAACTACTAATATGATTACCAATTGCAAGTTTAAATATAAATATAAAAAAAAGGAAAACCAGTTTATATACAATATACAAAGATCTATTTCACAAATATAAATGCTTAAAATATTCTTTACCTGAGTGCAGTGATCAGAAGCTTCAAACCTTGTCTGTCCTTCAATAAAAATCCTTTGTGATCCAACTTTACTATCACCTCTTTAACATTGAGATTTGGGACAACTTCAAGTAGACCCTTAATGAAAACCTCAACATTCCATCCATGAGGGCCAGAGAGACTTCCTGATCCACTCAAACCTACTTCATTACCAGGGGCTGACTGAGACTGGTTGTTTGGGGTCTTGTCTTTATTGTCACTCCAGAGAGAACTGGGAGAGTTTAGATTTTGAAGTCCAATCTGTTGAAAATGAAAATTATTCTTCACTTGTACAGATATATAAAATTAAAAAGCTTCTTCACTAAGCTCGGTGGTACATTTAATGGCTAGTACCATATAGTGTTGATGCAACCATCACTATATCAACACATACCATGTCGTATACATATAAATCAAATGTGATGAAGTATTCATCGTCAAATCCTCTGCATTAAATATTGTACAAGTTATAAATTATTCACAAATAAACAAAATAGTTGTTATTCCTAAAGTGATATCTCCTAATTATGGCAAAACATCTTAACAAGTTACCTAATCCCTTTAATAATACAGTGGCACCTCGATTAATGAGTTTAATCCGTTCTGACACAGAGCTCGTTATGTGGAAAACTCGTCTTAAGAAACAAATTTCCCCATTTAAAATAAAGGAAATAAATTTAATCCGTTCCACTCCCAAAAAGATCCATACTTGTATGACATTTTATAATGTAAATATAATACTGCATATGTAATTATTTTTGTTGTACTGTTTTCATGTTTACTTTACCTTATGAAGAGTCGTTGCTGGCTTGAGGGAAACAATGGGGAGGTGGGAAGGAGGAGAGGGGTTATGGTGTGGAAGGAGAATCCACCTCTGAATCAGCCGGGCTCTCTCTTCTTGGTAATTTCACCCCACTGGGACCAGGTTGTGGTTCACTATCACTGGCTCTTCTTTTCCCTACTTTTGCAAAGAACGTATCTATTGACAATTGCTTTTGTCTTTGTTTTAGGATGTTCCTAAAACAAGACAGCAAATTGTCATTAAACATGTTCACAAACCGGGTTGTTACTGCTTTATCAGGGCAGCTTTACCAAGAATGCGGTCACCTTTTCAAACATTTTAACACTTCCCTGATCTCACTGGAAGAGGCAGCATCCTCCCTTACCTCCTCATCCCCTTACTAGTGGTGCAAATTGTTGATGAGGCCCTGCCATACTCCCGTGTGAGATCAGTCACACAGACACCACGCTCATGCTTTGCTATAATTTCCTTTTCAAATCCACAGTAATTGTGTCTTTCATCATCTTGACAACACTATCTTTAGCAAGCAGCTTCTTTGGTGACATCGTGCATTACAAATTGTAGTAAAAAAAAAATAGAAAAAAGCGCAAAAAAATCCAGAGGCATGCTTGTCGTGTGCGATACAACAACACTGGCGTCGGAGGCGTCCGAGAATTTGCGAGAACCCGCAAGACGCTAGGAAGCATCATGTGGTTTTGCTCGTTAATAGAGGTGAAGCGCGTCAATAGACAAATTTGTTGCTAGTGGCTCGCTCGTTACTCGAAATGCTCGTAAATAGAGTCGCTCGTTAATCAAGGTGCCACTGTATTAATACACCCCCCCCCACTAAATAATAACCCAATAATTACCAAATTATATTTTACATTTTACAAATTAGGGTTTTTTTTTTACAAATTATAACATTTTGTACAATATTTTGTATTTAAGTGATAATTTTCTAAGCAGTGTAAAATAGCATACACCTGTATTAGGTGGATCTTGGATGATAACACAGGGTTATTCCATGGCAAATCATCACAGCTCCCAATGCAACCACCTCAGATTTACAGACAATTTGGTAGGATGTTCAGAATACATGAAGTAACACACATTCTAAATTATAGTGATGCATGATATTCATACAGCCAAGTTGACAATTTGATATTAAAAAATAAATTAAAAAATAATTGAGGTAGAACTTTCATGTTGTGTTTTAAAGTTCAGTCATTGCTTTCATTAAAATAGTCTTACATTAAATATTGAATTTTACCATTTCAAGATCACATGACAAGACCTTTGACTTTATTGAGACTGAAACATGCCTAAGCATCAGGATACTGTGTATCAGGTTTGGTGAAGTTTTAAATTTATATTGTAGCAAATGAAAGATTAAATTTGTTCAAAATACATGACAAAACCGTATCATATCCTTGTATTATAATTAACTAATGAAACACACATTTCCGTAACTAATATAAATAAAAGGAATGGAGGACTTACCGGCTCAGATGGTAAACCCGTGTGAGTTCGGACCATAACACCCAAGACCTTGGCTACAGCTGCTGGGGTTATGGAACTCACCCCAAAGTTGGCCAAATTGTTTCTACATTCTTCCACAGTATTGCAGAAACTGTAGCCTAATTCTAAGACTAGATCAGCTAATGAACCATCCAGCTGCAAGAAAAAAATAATAATAATACAGTATTTTATTTATTATTATAATATATACATTATATACATATATATATATATTATATATTATATATATATATTATATAATATATATACATATACACACACATAGAATGCTGTATAGGGCAAGCATCTGGTGGGCTCAAAGGCAGGGGAGAATGAGGATCTGAGATTGACACAGCAAGACAACCATCCTGCCAGCACTGTACAGACCAAGCATATATATACATATACACACACATAGAATGCTGTATAGGGCAAGCATCTGGTGGGCTCAGAGGCAGGGGAGAATGAGGATCTGAGATTGACACAGCAAGACAACCATCCTGCAAGCACTGTACAGACCAAGCAAAAACTACATAATGTACCATGATTAGAGAGAAATGATGGAAACATGAAAATGTGGTACTCTGCCCATGTCGGCAATACACTAGTAGTCCAGTACTCAAGTAAACAACCAATCTAAGACAGATCCAATCACCCAGGGACACAGCCTGTTTGCTGCCTCATTCATGGGCTGTACACATGTTCAGCTTTTGAAGTCTGAATTCCAGTGTATAATTGCAAAGAAGGATACACACTGGGAATTACTGAAGCGGCCCAGAAAAAAGACGTTTTATTACAGTGCTTTATGATTTCTGAGCTAGTCCTCATTAGCTCCAGCGTGAATACTCCACTGGAACCTCAGGGAGGACTGTGTATTCGAGCTGAAAAACAGACTAATAAAGGAACAAAGATGGAGGGGTTGACCAATAAGAAGACACAGCTGGAAACCAACGGCTCGGAGAACCTCGCTACCTTGTGGCTACCTTGTGGCTACCTTGTGGCTACCTTGTGGCTACCTGGTGGAGGTTCTGGGGGATCAAAGGCCCTGCCTGCGGCCTGATCTCTGACCACGTTTCCCGGTTGGTCGTCCGGTCAACAGGCTGTTGGATGTGGCTGCTCGCAGCCTGACATATGAATCATAGCCTGGTTGATCAGGTATTCTTTGGAGGCAGTTGTCGAGTTCTCTTGAACACCATGAGAGGCCGGCCAATTATGCCCCTTATGTGTAGCGGGAGAGTGTTGAAAAGTCTTGAGCTCTTGATGTTGATAAAGTTTTCCCTCAGCATACCAATCACACAGGATCTATCATACCTATCGGAAGGATCAACTCGGTGACTGAAAAAGGTGCCCAGGGGCCACACAGGAGCAGTAAGGACATCCAACGCATTGTTAAACTAGCATAAACCCCGAGCCTGAATGTTAGCCATTGGTGTATATGTAAAGAGAGTACTAGCAGCACATTTGAACGTATCATATGTAGATATGCACCAGGTTGGCTGACATAACTTGAGAAAACCTGGCCTTGAAACAAGACATTTAGTTCTATCAAGTATATAAAAAAAAAAAGTATGGAAAAAATGTTTTGGAGCTCACGGCAGCACCTACCCATTGGTGTAAGTGCTGCCATTTGGTAGTAGTCAAGGGCTGCAATCAGATAGGCAACTGGTTGTCTGTGACAGCACTACTGCCAAATAGTGCTGTCACAGACAGCATTTATGACTGAAATTCTTGTTTGAACTTCTCTCTACTTCCTCCCATAGTCTCACTGTAACCCAACAGATGACTGAAAAATCTCTACAGAATTTATGTAATGTCCCCATGTCCTGACTATCATGATCCTGTCCAAAATGATCTTCAGTAATGTTGCTATAGGGAGGATGCAAATAGAATAATTAAAAAAGTGTACTTTTAACTGGATCAATATAACAGAATTTATAATTCATGCCAGCCTGAAAAGTTATAAAAACAAAACAAAAATAGAATTCTGAAACACCTGTATTTTGCACTTTATTGCCATGGTAATGAAATGAGATACAATTTCATTTACATTACGCACAAATAAAAGCAAAACATTCCTAATTAGACTATTTTCATTAAATTTTTTGTTATGCCTTGGTAACCATGTATTTATTTCTCTTTTTCCCTAAGTAAGGCGATCCCATTTATAGTTACAGTAAGTAAATTGCAATCTAGTATCTAACAGCTCAACTTCAAACACATTATATAATAAAACTAAGCAAAACAAAGCAAGCACAAACCTTGGCACTTACAAGGTTTTTTGCCATGTTGGCTGGTTGTTCTTGAGTTATTTTCTCCATAGGAATGTCTGAGTCTGAGTAAAGTAGTGGTGCAAGAACTACAGGGACACGTGACCGGGGAAATTCACGCTGTAAAGCGCAAATAAAGGCCTGCCTCGATTCCTGAGGTAGTAGGGCAGCAGGGGGATCTCTCCACAGATGAACAATTTGGGTTAGCAATAGATGAAGGGACTCTGTTGGTAGCTCCAATAACTCCCGGTCCCCTGATTCTGTAAAAATGTAAAGCCTTTAACCAATCTATTAAGAAATTCTTTGATTTCAATCTATTAAGGAATTCCTGGGTTATTATTTTCACAATATGGATATACAGTACAGGGGGACAGGAAGAATGATTGTGGTGGGAGGGTGGTGACATGGTGTGTAATAATAGGTATATTTTGATAGAAGACAAATCAAGACAGACAAATGTAGCAAGGGATACACAAATTAGCTAATACTGTATATAAATGGACAAATAATACCAAACTATTGATGATCATATTTCACTCACCAGTGTCGACGTAAGCTCGTACAAGATCTGGAAGTTTGGCTTTGAGGAGTGCTGTGGACTGGTTACGAACTTCTGAATTAGTTGCTTGAAGAAGGTATAAACAAAGAGTAATTTCCTGTAAGCGGGAAAGCCTGAGTGCCTTGCACACTCCAGTAACCCACTGTGGCTTGATGAACTGCAGTAGAAACAGTGTAACATGAAAACATTAAGCTATAACAAAATACCAGGTAAAATAAAATTTACTATACATTATACTGAAATATCTATCTATAAAGAGAATGCAAGTCTGTATATCTGTCTAAAGGAGGCCAGAAGCATCACACAACTTTCCAAGATGATACACTGAGGGTATGGAAGTGTAACAGGTCAGTCACCCCCCAGTGCCACCCTTTAAAAAGTATCTGCTCCTCTAGCAACCCTTGTAATTTTTACAAAATATGAAATATGGGATTTGTTTTCCAAAGAGCTTTCAGCAGTTTATCTGTGAACGAAGAAGGGATAAAAGAAGGCGACATAACAAAGATATAATTCAGCTCAGGGTCCCAGATATTGTTGTACTAACAGAGACAAAACGAAGAAAATATTTTTAATAAGGTCATATTCCCAAGGGGCTACTCAATTTGGAGATGTGACACGAAAACTAGGAAAGGGGGAGGAGTGGCTGTGCTGGTAAAAGACCACCTGAAGGTAAGAGAGTTAACAACTGAAAACCCTCAAAACGTTGACATAATGGCATTACAGGTTTGTAATCAGGATAATAAACATAATCGTAAATGCTTACAGCCCACCAGCAAGCAACACATGGACAAAGGAGAAACATGGACACTGAAGCCTAACCAGGGTTAGGCTTCAGTAGAAGCCTTGGGACCCTTGAGGGTGTAGTAGTACCCCAGGTTGCAATTCTTCTGACCATGTCGTGGTGTAGTCGACTAGAGTGCACTGGGAATACCCAGGGCATAGGTTTGAACCGTCATCAAGACCTGTGAATTTATTCATTCATATATATATCACGCTAATGTGATTTCTCTGAGCCAAGGCATTTATTAAAGCCAAAAACATATTGGTGAACAATCACTGATTAAATTAAATAAAGTTTCCCGCCTCCCGTTCATGAGGGCTTATGGGAGGGACACATCATAGTAATGGAGCAGAGTATCATCAAGACACCACAACACCTTGGTTGTTGGGCCTAATGCATCCTCGTGTGCCTTTCTAAACTTCAGGAACCATTAACATAATTCTTTCCGAATTACTAGTGAAGTTCCAGAGACAATACAAATTAAATAATACCCACAATATATTATAGCTCCATGTTATGCACTATAACTTAACAGTACAGTACTAAAAACTACTAGCTGAGCTGGACGCAATGTGTACCAGCCTAGCAAACAAGAAATACCCTACTCATTTATACATCAATGACATAAGGTCGGTTAAAGACATCGACCTGAGCACCAGGGCACCTGTTCTAAGTATACTGTAGTTGTGACTCTTTGGTATTATAATAGAAGTCAATTTGTGTATCTGTCACTTAACCGTTTCTCCTGGGTCCCAGTTAATCTGGTTTGTTTCTACCCCAAACAAGTAAGTAATAGTTTCTCAACCTTGATCTAGTGTTGTGATATTAAATTGGATGGAAACTATTTAAAAAGTTTGCTCAAATTGATATTTATTAATATAGATTTTGTATCATTAGCCCAGGCTACAAATAATTCTGTTATGTGGATTGGATAGCGTGCACCAAGTTGATTCAGTGCTTTTTCGCTGTATTAAATTAGTTATTTCTTTACAAACTAAATGTGGAACTTCGACAGATATCCAAGGATAGGGACTTGATACTGCAAACTACTGTTTTCCCAACAACTAACTGCATGAGGGAGTCTAAGCTGGCAACTCAGCTATGTTTATTTTTACATTTCATTGTTTATACAGTGTAGTAGATTTCTAGAGCAATGATTGTAGTTTGTTGTTTTATATGACAGACATTCTGCAGTTTTTAATTAATTTTTCATTCTAAACTCAGATTTTCATTTAATTTACATCTTTTTTTTTCAAATTGACTCTGGGAATCAAGTTGAGGAGTAAATCCCATAACATGAATGTATATTTTAAAGATATAAATGTTAAATTCAAGAAGAAATATGAAGTATAAATTAAAAAAAATTATTTAGACTTAGCTTGTTATCACAAAGGTAAAGATTTCACTGACTATTGTATGTGAAAAAGAATAGTTTAGCAAGCACAAAGAAGAGGCACTGCAGTATATATATGGTACTGTACATCCCTCTCACATTAAGAAAAGGAATCCCAATTATTTCCCTTTATGGATGTGTGTGTACAGTACTTCTGATCATTAAATTTGTATACAGTATGTAATAAAGGCCTATACATAGATTGCCTCATTCTATACAACTTCCTGTAAAGAAAACTTTCCACAACATTTATTTTGCTAAAAATTAAGTAAAGACATAATGAGTATGCTACTTTAGTTGTAGCTCCTTTTCAGCAATTAAAATCTTAATTCAAAATACATAAACACTCGGGCTTCGAGAGGTGGCCAGTCATTATTCAATAAAACACATAAGCATCATATAAATTACCTTGCTGGGATTTGGTGGGTTGGCAGTGGCAATGGCAAGGTTAGCAATGAAAGATGTTGGAGGAAGTGTAGTAGCCAAATGTTGCAAGAGAAGGGCACCAGCCCCCCCACTAGTGGATGACCACGTAAGTGTGGCTATGCCAACACTACAGGTAGTCTCTTTGTCCTGAAAATTAATGTAATTGTTATTACCTGGACTTTATTAAAAAAAAAAATGACCAACTGTCTATTGCAACTCTGCCCTCTAGCACAGAAAGCACACATAGTTCATAAGCTAAATATTTGAACCCTTATGCCACACACTGCAAGTAATGTAATATTTGCTTTAGTTGTGAGTTGACCACTCACTGAGGTCTATTTAATAACTCCTATACTTAATGAATGGCTCTGGCAATAGCCTGCCAGCTTTCTAAAAGTTTCTTGGGGGTCCCTCCACCCCTCAACATCACCAACCTCAATATAAAGACCACGATTCACATTAAACAATTTACATTACCAAAATAATAATTTAACAAATATTTGTTAACGAGTAATTTCATAAATATTGTAATTGATTTGAAAATATACCGTAATCAAGTTCAGAAGTGGGTTGCTGTATAGTGTGCAACTTCCACCACCTTGGACAAAACACATGCGACGACCGGGCCGTGGGGATGCTAAGCCCCAAAGCACCACAAGGTAACCTTTCTGACCTTATGGACAAGGATTGAGCTAGGCTGGCAGGTAATGTTCTTGGCATTGGTGCCACAGGTAACTTTTGTTATGGCCAAAGTTGGAAAATATGCTTGAAGGTCACTGGAGTTAAAACTCAGTCCAGTCTGGAACGACCAACACACAACACATTCTATGTAAACTCAAAAGCTATGAAAGGTCTCCCTTTGGGATTTAAAGATAACCAACAATCAAGGCCTTCAGCCTAGTGCCCACTAAGTGCCCAGCAACCAAATACATTGTATCACCTACAGATAGCAGCAACTCACCCACAACACAAGACTTGTTTATCATTAAACTGTTTTGTTTGTATAAATAGTTTATTATATTCTTATACATGTAGAGTACATGAAGACGTAGTTTCACATCCTTGAACTTTTATACCAGTTTGTTTGCAGTAGAGTACAGTAGTACCCGAGCTATTTGCTTCACAACCTCTGGTACTGCCTAGTGACTAAGTATTTTTTGCTTAGGCCTACACTGGTTGCTGCTACAACCTGTGTCCTAGTCATGCCTTGTTTTCCAACTTGGCTTCTGGCTTTGTTTTTCTTGCCTTTGCTTTCTTTTTAGGACAACAGAGGTTAGAGCTATCCCATCATGTATGGTCAGAAAGCCTAGTGAACTCATCTGCTCAGGGTCCGCAGTGCCTCATGACTTGGGCTTTCCCCCACAGTTTTCTTGGCATTACTGTACAGCACAACATGTGAGTGGCTTAACTATTTACTTGTAAAAATCTACACTTGTAACCCAACACAAAATGTTCTTTCCGTTCAGTATTGAGATGTGTCCACTTTCATATAAAAATGTGTCTGCATACTAGGTACTATACTGCAAGGGTAAAGTCACCACACAATCCAGGAAATTAGAAATAAACATCTTGGAACACACAGTCTTCTGATAACACCACTGCTCTTATGTAAAAAAAAAAAATTCTCAGCAGCACATTCAACTACAGGTATAATTATACAATTTAAACTATTATGTATTTCACATGATAAACTATGGTTGTGTGTGCATAAATAATGTGCTATTTAAGTGTGTACAATACATAAAATCGAGGATAATGGCAAACGATCTCCCTACAATAGGCCCAACTAATACTGCACGGGATAAAGGAAATAGAAAGTAATTTATACTATACCATCAGGGCACCAGGTTGTTATAACACTAAAAAGCAATCTACAGTATATCCTGAACACCTCCCCCCCCCCCACTGCAACCATTAATTAGTTACAGAATGAAAGTCAATTACCACAATGCAAATTACAATTACAAAACTGTGATCCACTTCAAAATAAGCATAATAAAATAAACATACAATACCTTATTATTATTATTATTGTTTGGTGAGGGTCGATGACTTTCTACTCCCTGAGGTCCAGACCACTCCAGGTGACCAATCAGCACCCGGTACAAGTGTCGCTCTGCCTCTCCACCAAACTGACACACCACCTGATAATTTACAAATCATTAAAAATATATCAGAATTTTTCAAGTTTAAACAACCTTGACCCCCCACACACACAATGTGTGTTTGTAATGGAAGCTGCCAAACTTATTGAGAATACAGTAAGGAAAACAAAATAAAGATAACCCCTTGTTATGAGCATTAAATAATATGAATTCTATGTACGTAGCCTTATGTAATGTTACCACATGCCAGTTTCTAAATCTGCACAAAGTAAACCAGGAACCTTCAATTAAACTCCAAATCTATACCTGCCATTCATACCCCACCCCAATATATATCAGAAGAAAGAAATTATTCTTCCTATCAACCAAAAAATCTTCTCTTGTCAGCATACAAGACACATTTTGTGTCAGCTCCATAGATAACTAATTCTCAGAGCCAGCATATCATAGGATATAAACAGGATGTTTACAGTACAGTAATTATAAATTAGACCAGTGTAATGATACAAGCTAATGTAATGTGCACAGGCCAGGGCAACATGACACTACAGTAATAGCAAAGGCTGGAAGTATAGGTGGAGGTGCAGCTGTAGGAAAGTCAAAGATGATACTTACTTACCAGGGGAGCCGGTGGCTGAGCGGACAGAACACTGGACGTGTGATCCTGTGGTCCCGGGTTCGATCCCAGGCGCCGGCGAGAAACAATGGGCAGAGTTTCTTTCACCCTGATGCCCCTGTTACCTAGCAGTAAATAGGTACAGTACCTGGGAGTTAATCAGCTGTCACGGGCTGCTTCCTGGGGGTGGAAGCCTGGTCGAGGACCGGGCCACAGGGACACTAAGCCCCGAAATCATCTCAAGATAACCTCAAGAAAATACCTGATAGTGAACAGAGACTACACCTGGTGTATTATTTTTGTTAAATTTCTTAGTTTTGCTGTATCAGCAATTAAGCTGTGGATGAAGATGGCTTTCGTGACTTCTTTCAGTCTATTCCCCGAGTATTTCCTCAAGTTTCATTTCAATACTTGAGTTTTCAGCTTCCACCTATAATGTCTTGTCACCCCCCCCCCCCAAATTTAATTAACAAGGTTACCTTGTGTACCTTGTCTATTCCTCTCAGTATCTTGCAGGTAGTCATCATAAACGATCTGTTTATTTTCTACTCTATGAAGGATGTTGAACAGTGGACCTCTGATGTTTATACAGTGCTCTCTGATTGTACCTATGGCACCTCTGCACTACACTGGTTTTATTCTGCATTTCCTTCCAAATCATTCACTCCAGTACTGTATGTTCTTTCACTGTGTAGAGTTCGGACCTGGTCCCTCCAGTATTTTCCACGTGTACAGTATATTATTTGACTTGTATAATATACCTCTATAATATACAGTATATTATAGAGGTATATACCCCTCTCTCGTTTCTTTTCTAGGGAGTACATTTGGAGAGCTCCGAGACGCTCCCAATAGTTTAGGCGTTTTATCATGCCTATGTGTGATGTATATATATTCTCTATTCTCTCTATTTCAACAATCTCTCCTGCTCTGAAGAGGGAAGTGAGTACTGAGCAGTACTCAAGGTGGGACAGCACAAGTGACTTGAAGAGTACAACCATTGTGATGGGATGCCAGGATTTGAAAGTTCTCATAATCCGTCCTCTCATTTTTTTGGCTGCTGGAAATGCATATGCTCCCTAAATGTTAGGTCATCAGACATCATTATTCCCAGATCCTTTACATGCTGCTTTCCTACTATGGGCAGATTTGTGTTTTGTACCCTAGACACTGTATTTTGTTTAAGGTCCTCATTTTTACCTTACCTGAGTACCTGGAATTTATCACTGTTAAGTATCGGCTTGAGGTATTGTATGTACTAGCTCTATCTATAAATCCAACAGTATGTTTGTAACTCTGCATCCATGCATGTACTTTTCCTAAATAAAATATTATCATCATCATCATGTTATTTTCTGTTGCCTAGTTGATTTTTACTTTACTGATGAACTTTTTTAATATCGGTTTGCAGTTTTCAATATCTTCACCAGAAGTCATTTTCATGACTGTCACCTACAAAATATGATACAAAGCTATGACTTGTATTTTTGTCTATATCTGATATGAGAATAAGGGAAAGCAGTGGTACAAGGACCGTGCCCAGTGGTACAGAGCTTTTAACTGTGCTTGGATTATTTTATTTGTTCGACAGAAAATTTAATATCCACCATCTGACTTTACCTGTTATTCCCACTGACTTAATTTTGTGAGCCATGACTCCATGGTCACAATTATCAAATGCCTTTGCAAAGTCTGTGTATACCACATCTGCATTCTGTTTTTCTTCTAATTAAATAATTATCAAAAGAAGGCACCAAGCCTGGAAGGATATGCAGCACTTTTCTTCTAATGCCTCGGTGATTTTGTTGTAGGTCAAGTAGCTGTGAGAGGTATGATCTTCCCACTCTAAATTCATGTTGGCCTGGGTTGTGGAGGCTATTGGTCTCCATGAAACTGGTGACCTGATACCTGGTTGATGGGGTTCTGGGAGTTCTTCTACTCCCCAAGCCCGGCCCGAGGCCAGGCTTGACTTGTGAGAGTTTGGTCCACCAGGCTGTTGCTTGGAGCAGCCCGTAGGCCCATATACCCACCACAGCCCGGTTGGTCCGGAACGTCTTTTAGAAAACAGACTAGTTTTCTCTTGAAGATGTCCACGGTGACTCCTGTTCTCTCACTCAAATACTTTTTATTATGTGGGGCATTAATGCAACTGGTCTATAATCCTTAGCAAATGCTTTGCTCCCTCCCTTGTGTAGAGGGGTTATCTATACCTGCTGATTTAACCCCTACACTGCACACCTATTTTTGGCAAAAGTTTCACGGTGTAGTTGTTAAGGACATATTTTTGTTGTTTATATAAATGTTCAGCTAATGTTAATGTCAAAATGTTTCCAAACTCAATCATTTTCATTTCAAATCACAAAGAACGATAAAAACATTAAAAAACCCTAAAATATGGCCCAATTAAAAAAAATCACAGCCTTCAGTGCCTTAAGGTGCTTTGCGAAGTGCAGTGGTTAAGCACAGCTGCTATCTCCTCCGTGTCCAAGCTGCTTCTGCCCACTATACCGAGTGCCTGTGATACAGTACTGGCACTTTGCATTTCTTTATAAATATTAATTCCATGAGTCTGGACTCAGCATTGAATGCATGGGCATTTTGTCAATTTCTTTTTCAAAATTTGAAGCGTTTATGTTGATATCAGTTATATTCTCAGGGGTTTAGATATCTCCCATAGATAAGCTGTCTGGATCTTCCACTTTCATGCTGTTTATGGGGTGCTAAACATGTCCTCACACAGTTTTTACAGGATTTCACTAATTTCTGTCATCCTCTGTGTATGAATCTTCACTTGTAAGAATAGGTCCAATACCGATCATGGTTTTTACTTTTGAATTTGCATATGTATAGAAATATTTTGGGTTTTTTGCTCTCTTGTATGGCTTTGTTCTAATTGCATTTCATCAATCTGATATGAATGCTTCAGTCTCTGCTTGATTTACCTCATCTTCGTTTAAATTACTTCTTTGTAGAGATAGTCTTGCCTGCTTAAGCATTTCCGTAATTTTCCTTCTTTCGTAGTACTGTCTGCATTCTCTAATCTGATCCTCTTCCTGGCTTTCCACAAAGGATCGTTTTAGACAGACTTTATATGCTTCGGAAGTCTGATGTTCTATTCCTAGTGTGGGATTTCTATTACTGTATTTAGAACAGTTTCCCACTGAATGTAAGTTCCTTGTTTATTTTTTCCCAGTCTTTGCTTTTTTATTATTAAAATTGAATTTATTGAATAACCCCTCTCGGTTGATCATTTTTAGGCATATTACGAGTGTTGATATTAGTTAGCACTTCAATGAGTTTGTGATCCGAGTATGTGGTATGAGAGATTGAAATGTCCCTTATTATTTCTTCATTATTTGTGAAGATCAGATCTGGAATATTTTTGTTCCTAATTGACTATTATCTGCTGGTTGAGTGAAAATGTCACAAACTCTTAAGTAGTTCTCTAATTTTTAATGTCCAGGCAGATTTTCTGCTATAATACTATTGTTTGCTATTCTCCATCTTTGACTTGGCAGGTTGAAGTCTCCTAGGTACTGTGAGGTAGATAATATCAGGTACTGGGTTTGCCAGATTATCGAGACTACTCTATTTTGTTTACCTGTTCTGTTAATTCCTCAGCCATTGCATCTGGTGGTTTGTATATTAGAATAAGGAAGTAATTATCAAAAGAAGGCACCAAACCGGGAAGGCTATGTAGCACCATCAAATGTGCGGAATAATCAGAGGGCGCTAAACTGTATATTAGAATAATAACCAAGTTTACTTTCTCCATTTTTACTTTTAGTACTTCTACCACCTCATTTGTAAGGTTAAGGCATTCCAGGCATACAAGATCTTCTCTAATATACAGATCTATTATGCCTGTGACCATGTGACCTATTTACCCTATCTGAATAGGGAAGGATAAGGATCTTTATAGATTATATTCTGGTATCCAGATCTCACTGTCCAATTGTTCCCCTGCATGGGTTTCTGTGAAAGCTCAAAATACTGCATTTGACTTGGTGAGGAAGCCATTTATGAACGGTACTTAGTTTTTTTTACCCGTTTTTAGTCCTTGTATGTTGACAAAGATGAATGAGGTTACTGTACTCTGTTTGGGGTAATTTGACTGGGAAATTTTTCTGGCAGTTTCATTATGCGTGTGTATATCGGATTTATTCTGACCAGTACTTATTGTTGAAGGGTTGTTGCCTGTCATAGTTGTCACTGCTGTGGGATATAATTGTATTTGTGATTCCGGTATGCAAGTGGGTCTTTCAGCCAGTTCCATACACACTGTTCCACCTTTTGAAACCTCTTATCCGGGTATAAAAAATTACAGTATTTGACTTTCCTCCAAATCAATTATCTTGCTTGCCACTCTTTATGTAGCGTTCTGTGCCTTTCACATTTAAGTATGGGCAACTGAGGTCATAAA